GTCGATTCCTCGACTTGGATGCTGCACCATGGTGCATATAACATAGTGCTGCCCCGTCCCTGCTGGCCTCGAATTATGTTGTTCTTCTCGGGAATTGGTTTGGCCTTCTGACAGCCTTCCTCTCCGCCCTCCGTCCGTCCTGAAAGAGCCCCACTGCCACCCTTTGGATGCAATATGATTTCAATTAGTACCATTCGTTAGTGAGTGTGGCACTCAGAACTGATTATTGCAGTTTTATAAATTGTTTTCCTTTTGAAAACATCCAGAAATGCTGTTCTGAAGATGTAGTGTGAATCCTGTTTGCACTTATTTCCAATTTGTAAAATGTTTTTTTTAATTATAAGCTGGTGTAAAACATGTCTATCCTTTCGAGAAGATGTAGTCTGTATTTACTATAATTATTTGACCAATAATAAAAGCGTTAATAACATTTTAAACTTTGCAATAAATCTTAATTAGCACTTGTTTTCATAATTCCCATTTTTGGGAATATTTTTATTTTTTCAACAATACAACCAACTACCTTTTACAACGGTAATAGTATAGTAATAAATGAATATAATAAAAAGCATCAAATACTCCAACTTTGAATGGGTCTTAGACAAACATTACATCTGCACATATTCTTATTTTTCCACTTCCCCCAGCGGAAGGCCTTTATTGCTTTAAACAAATTTATTTATAACCCAAATTAAATAACTCAGAGCATCGGACTTGACTCAGGCTGCCACTAAATTTGCTAGGCGAATGCAATTTGCAGATTTACTAACCCCCCGCAGCAGAAAGAGCGGGAGCCGGAGAAGAAGTCGGAGCCGGACTTGCAGTTGGAGAAAATTGCAATTGCAATTACCAAACTGGAGAAAGGGAGATTGGGGGCAGGTGCAGGAGCATGAGCAGAGGGAGAAAGAGCAGCGCCATGCCACGAGTAAAACAACTAAACAACGCCGAGCGACGACAGTTTGACTTGCAATTTTAGCTGCACCAGCAGACCCCAGCAGCGAAATCAGCGAAACCGTGGCCGCCGCATCATCCCCATCATCATCCACAACGTCATCATCATCCCCATCAAAGGAATCATCATTAACAGCATCATCATTAAGGAGTAAGTAAGGCAAAATCGAGGTTTTAGACTATAGGATACCTGGTTTTTCAATTATTTGTTTTCAGCATAAAAGGTTTTAAGCTGAAAGTTTGAAATACATTTATTTATTGATGTCCGCTCACACACAAAGAGCCTATATTATATGCATTTTATAGATCCATTGAACATCTAATAAATGTTTATAAATAGTCTCGAAAATTTTGACTACTACAATCAATAACATATTGTAATATTAAAGTACACACAAGCTTTTGTCGTGGTCAAATCTTAATATAACCGAATAAGGTTTATTTGCCATTAAGTTCTTTCTTCTGACCATTACATTTTGATGGTCAAACGCAATATACCTTTGTAATCGTCGAGGACCTCGGGTATGAAAAACCGCGCGCGCCTCGACCATATCCATTACAGCCAGAATAACAGGAGGCTCAGGAGCAGAAGCAGGCGGAGAATGGGAATAGGAATGCGAACGGGAACGGGAGTGAGACGATGTGGAGCACAGAGGGCCGAGGACAGCGAGTAGTTGTTGGCCCTGCGGCTGCCCGGCCTGGCCAAGTTTGCGAGAAAATCGATTTCAGCTCTGCCTGCACTCGCACGGGCGGCCTTTTCGGATGCGAGTGTCCAGGTTTCAGGTCCAGCTCCAGTGCGAGTCCGAGTCCGAGGCCCAGTCGCAGACCCATTCGCAATCCCCGGTCCACAGTCAACACTACCATTCCCACTCCCGTTCGGATTCCCAGTTGGGGAGTTGCACTCCTGTTCCTCTACAGTAAAAAAAAAATTAAAGGTAATTTTTCGAGCGCTAGGAAAATAAGTCTCTTAAGTTCGTCTTACTTTAAAATCCAAAAAAAGGAAAAATATTTATCCTTATTTAAAAGTGAATAAAAGTTGTTATTTTATTAAATAATATAAAACATATTAAATCATGTAGAATAATATCCTTTGCTTTCACATATATTTCTAAGTTTATTTGTTTAAAATACCGATTGCTTTAAAAAGAGTAAGTTCTTAGCTTTATTCTTATAGCTTTACTCTGGTGTAAAGTATCCAAACTTTATATTCTCAATTATCTTTATGAGGATTTTATTTTTGCGCAGTGTCCGTCTGTTTGTTTGTTTGTCGCTTTTAATGTTGAACGTTGCTGGCGGAGGCGACTCTTGACTGATTTTTATGCTTTTGGCCCAATTGCCCCGCAGTAGCCGCGCGGTTGAGAGAGCGGACTGCGATGGGCATCGAATCGACCGGTTCTCGCTCTTCACCCTGGCCACCTACCTTCCTACCAACCTACCCTTTAGACCCCCTCGATACCACCCATTAGCGGCCCTTTGTTTGACTTGCAGTTGCAATATAAGGTCATTCCTCTGCTCTTGTTCTTGCCGGTGTTTTTGTTGCAGTTGCACGCTTTTCGTTTCGTTTGATGGCTGCGCGCACGCGGCCTTTTGTTAGTTTTCCCCATCCAATTTCATTTTTTTTCCATTATTATTATGCTTTTTTCGTATACTCTTTAAGGGAACAACATCAGCGAAATCGCAGTCTAATCACTTCATTAGGCGGAGTCTCCCACCGCTTTTGGCCATGTTAACACGTTGTTTGGCTGCAAGTTGCACGAAGTTGCACGTAAAGTGCGAAAAAAATTGGCTTTAATTGAAAAGTGTGGGAAGAGTAAACACTTCTGCGACTTTTCCTTTCTTTTAGACGTTTCAAGGGGTCTTTTGGATTTCTTTAAACCAAAAACCTCCTTCTTTAATGTGTTGATTTGTATAAATTTTTTTTAAAATTAAATTGGTAATCACTACTACTAGATTTAGTAATTTGTTTTTAATAGTCTTTTTAAGACTTTTTTTGAGCTTTTACAATGTATTTTATCAGTTTTGTTAACTAAAAATTGTTAATTGGCTTATACAAATTCAAATTATTCTGAAATATTCACGACCACATTCATTTTTCATTGACCATTTCACATTTTTACATAATCCAAGAAATAATGTAACTTTTAAGTGCTTCAATGTAATTGTAGATATTTTTAACAAATTTTTAATAGCTTTTAATAACAGTGGAAATTTTAAAAGCTGTGGTTTATGCAAATTGTACTTTGATCAATTACATGTTGGTAATTGCAGACTTTATTTTAATTGGATAAATTAAAATGTTCATAAAGGATAGGTAGAGGAACTTGGAATAAACAACTTTTTTAAAAATATCACAAAACTTGAAGCTTCTAACTTGCTAGCCCGCATTGTAGTCGTTTAAAGTTTTCTCACAATTGTGAGGCGAAATAGCATCAGCTGCTGCTGAGGAGGCTCCCGGTTCGACTCCGCTCGCTTATCGCATAATTGGTAGCAATGTTGGCTGCCACTTTTTGCTGCGGCTTCTGTGGCTCTCGAACCCTGGGCTCTCCGCGCCGTATCCGTCGCATTCCGGAGATGCCGGCAAAACACTTGTCAGCGACTTAAATGGCGCGCAGCTGTGCGGCATTAGCTGGGGAACTGAAAAGCTGTGGAGCTGCAGAACTTGTGGGCCAGGTGAGGTGACCGAGGAGACTGGACACACCTCTTAAGGAGGTGTTGCGACTGCCGCTGGACTCCAGGAAGTGCGGGGAATACGGGTGCAAGGCGGTCCAGTGGCGACATTTGATGTGATTATTGAGTTATGCCCACGGGGGCAGGTGCCTGGCATATTTCGCTTAATTTTCTGATGAAGTTATTCACAGAGATATGGAACGCAGTGAAAAGGTACAAGTATTATAAGCTGAGATAAGCGAACGAACAAGAGCTCAAAAAAGAGGTTAAATCAAGGTGTGTTCGTGAGACATAAAAATAATCATTCCGGTGTCCAAAAGTCTGCAACTTAATGTAGTATTCTGACATTGGTGCGACAGGTGTTTAAAAAAAAATGTTAGTAATGAAAAGCGTAGCGTTAACTCTTAAATTGTAAGCACTCTTAATGAACACAGAAAATATTTAATGCTTGTCAATTTGGTGAATTTATTCACAGAGATACGCCAGCAATTAATTATAGTGAATATTTATTTTTAATAAGAACCAAGTAAGGGATTATTGTTGATCCCTTTGTACACATTTATTATATTGACATTGGTGTTGTAGAAAATACTAAAAACACACACGAGCACGAACAATTCAATTGTTAAATTTCTAATTAAATTACTTTTTGGAATGGCTTCTGAGCTTCTGGCTTGTACATTAGAAAAAAAAATTTAAATAGGCATCTTCCTTTAGCCTACCATTTTCTATGCAAAGATATGTAGATACATACGTATTCATGAAAAACAGAAGAAAGATTGTTATATTAATACAGATAAAGGCACTATTTGGGATTTGAAAAAGAATATATTTTTTTGTAAAATTCATGTGTTAATAAGTAAGTTGGACTATTGACAATTGGAAAAGGATATACGTCAAAACGGGAGAAGGAAACAGTTGCATAAATAATTAACATTTGTCAGGAAATCCGTTGCCAGCAACAACAAAACGCCGGCAAAGAGTCAGAATTAGAAGAGAAAAAGAGAGGAGAAATGAAAACAGCAGGCACTACTAAATCACCAACAACAACAGCAACTACAACCCCAGAGGATGAGGATAGAGTGAATGGAAAGGGAATAAAAACATAAAAAAGCGGCACAGATTGCCGAGAACAACAACTAAACACGGGCGAGCACACACACACAATTTGAGCACTCCATCTGTGATGTTGTTGTTGTTCCTATTTATTTTTCCTTTTTGCCCTGCAATCAATAAAACGGATTAGGAATATCCTTTAAATGCGGCGCTTGGTGGAGGCTGCACGCACACACTCTCGCACACAAAATCTCCCTCACACACACACATGCTGTAAATCCTTTAAAAATAACACATATAGAAGGAATAAAAGTAGCGGCACTTACTTTTCGTTTTTTTCGTGGAAGAAATTAGGAGATGGAATGGCAATTGAAGGTGGAGAAAAGAACGGTAAGGAGAAGACGAAAACAAAACCGAAAAACGCACACTCAAACACGCACACAAACACGCAGGGCGAAAGATTTACCGTTCTGTTACGCGACGCGAGATGCCCAAAAAAAATTACGAAGAAAGGGCAGGAAAAGAGGGAAATGATATTATTATATATTTTCAACCTTATCCTTATTTACTCCAATTTTGATTTTGTCACTTGCATCACAACATTTGACCTTAATGACCTTGCATTATCTGTTTCTTGTTTAACTAAAGTAACTCTTAAAAATGCAATTTAAATGCTTGTATTCGTTTTTGCTGTTGTTGCCAGGAGAGGAACACACACGACGTTTAAAATTAACAAATTGCTGCCGGTTTGTGTCTGATTTTTCGTCTCCGTTTTGTTATCACGATTCCTTGATGGTTAATGGTAAATGGTTATTGGCAAGCTGGTTTGCTTATTAAATGGCTCGTTTTGGCTACCGTTTATAATGACACAACACTTGCTTTCAGTTTTCCACACAACCGTTTTGCCGGCTTTTCAGTTTTTCACGCGACGCAGCGCCGTTTCAACCGCTCTAGTTGAAATTCAAACGCGTTCGGAGGATTTTCGACGACTGCCCGCGCGGCGGTGGATGCGTTCGTATATATATTTGAAACCCGATCTAAATCGACAACTCTCCCACCTTTTTAGAGAATTTAGTACATTCGGTTGTTTTAAGAGCGCAAGCGCGGTCACACCATGGTCCACTCTCTTTTTAGCTCTCTTTCAGGTTTAACAGAGGGCGAAACATCTGTTGAGCTAACAGCTGCCTGGACTAACATCAGCCGATCCTCTGCTACTAATAACCAGGGCTGCCAATTCTAATGTGTTTGTTTATTTATTTCACGTATTTCAAGTCGACGTTAAGCCCAATAACTTGTTTTTAGACTACTTAAGGAAAAAAAATTCCTTAAAAATCTGCTTTAAAAACATTAAAAATATATAATTTTCATTGCAATAAATAATATTCATAAAAAAGAATTGATGTGACAATATCAAGAATCATATCAAACTGGAATGATAAGAAATTTAGACCACCCGTTTTATCATTTTTAGTACGCTCTCTTTACTTATTCTGCTCTCTTACTTGGTACATTGGTGGGAGCGAGATAGCTGCAGCGGAGAGAGTGTTTTATTGTCGAGTTCGAACTCAGAGAGCGTTGAAAAGAGAGAGAGACCACGAAAACAGTGGGACGACAGGGCTGCCAACGTTGTGTTGTGCTTGCAAGGCATGTAGAATTGAAGTAATGTTTGCGAACAGACATGTCAAATTACATGCAAATATGTATATACACAGTGGTATGAAAGAAGAATGCCACAAAAAATGTTATCTGAAAACCCTTTTGTGTTGGGGTTTTCATGTTAGTTTTTTCTAAATTTCCGGTGACTTGTAATAAGGTGTCCCACAGGTTCTATAACTTTACCAAATTTAATCCGATTTCAAAGTGGCATACCTCTTTCGACTCGTGGTTTGATTCTCTAAAAATCTGCATTCAAAATTTTCATTTTAACGTTGATCAAATTTTTGACCCATTTTCATGTTCGTTTTTTTCAAGTTTCCGATGACTTGTAATAAGGTGACCCACAATTGGACTTCCAGAGTCTATAACTTTGCCAAATTTAATCCGATTTCAAAGTGGCATACCTTTTACGACTCGTGGTTTGATTCTCTAAAAATCTACATTTAAAATTTTTATTTTAACGTTGATAAAATTTTTCACCCATTTTCATGTTTGTTATTTCTAAGTTTCCGATCACTTGTAATAAGGTCACCCACAATTGGACTTCCAGAGTCTATAACTTTTCCAAATTTAATCCGATTTCAAAGTGGCATACCTCTTTCGACTCGTGGTTTGATTCTCTAAAAATCTGCATTCAAAATTTTCATTTTAACGTTGATCAAATTTTTGACCCATTTTCATGTTCGTTATTTCTTAGTTTCCGATGACTTGTAATAAGGTACCCACAATTGGACTTCCAGAGCCTATAACTTTTCCAAATTTAATCCGATTTCAGAGTGTATATATTAAATAACAAAAAAATAGTTGAATAATACAAAAGGGACCACTAAGAATAACAATGCCAGCAATAACTATTTTTTTTTAGTTAAAAATATTTACATTTATTTCGTTCTTTTTTTTGAGGTTTCAGAAACCAATTCAGAAATTTCATTTACAATTTTTATGAGTTCAAGCTTTGAGCGATTTTTTGTTTTGAGTGGGACATTTCCGTATCCTGCGATACAGAGGGCAGCACATGAAGCACCAAAGCAACCGGGATCGCACATCCTTGGTTCAGGAACTCCTGGGGATCCCGAAAAAATACAGCCACAAATTTGGAAGATGCAGAATAAAGAAGAGATCACACGGCGGTGATTAGATGGGCGTCATCTTCGTTGATCCGATCGGACTTTCCATTGACCTCGATCGTGTGATTTGACTCCGTGTCGCTGGGTTCCTGTTCGATTTCCCCCTCCTCCCCTTGGTCATCGTCATCTCCCTGGGAGGAGTTTTCCCCATTTTCCTGCTCGGGGGATTCCCGTTCTTCGTTTTCTTCGTAGATGACGTCACAGTTGGTGGCTATCGACTTGGGCGGAGGTTTCTTCACCGATTTCCCTCCTCCCTTTCGATCTCCATTTTGCTGCATCTCGGACATTTGAATCTGCATTTCGCGCAGGCGATCCGTAAGCACGTACAAATCCCGCTCCTGACTTTCGCACCGTGTTCGTAGCTCGGAAATCTCACGCAGATCCTCGGCTCGGGGATCTCGCCTTTCGTAACGCATTCGCATCTCCTCGAACCTGCGGAAATATTTGTTTAAAATTTGGAGTTAAATGTTTTAAGAGAAAGCGTAAATTAAAGTGGATACTGGATACTGACTTAGCGTACAACATCCCACAACACGGACAAGCAAAATAAAGATGTAGTAAGTAGGGGTAAAGATATAAAAAGTTTCGATCAAGCTCTTAAATCCATTATTTTTAAAAATGCTTAAAGCTTTAAACCATTCTACATTTATTCGATTTTTTAATGCTGTGTCCTGATTTGAGCCTAAGATACCCAAAGTGGTTTATATTAACAATTGTGTATTTATAGAAGACAACATTGTTAGATTTCATATATTGATATTATTTATATTAAAAATTTTGAATTCAATTTTAAAAAAATGTTGAAACTTTTATGTAGTAAAAAAAACATGATTAATGTATCCTAAAATTGATATACAGTTTTTTTTTAGATTTTTTAGATTTAATATATTGATACTATTAATATTAAATATATATAATTCAATTTGAAAAAAATGTTGGAACTTTTATATAGTAAAAAACATGATTAATGTATCCTAAAATTCATATAAAGTTTTTTCTCGATCAGTAAACTTATTTTAAAAATATTAAATTATTTTATAACAAATTATGGAATTAGGAGCTTGATTTCGGGGATACGGTGGGTGGTTTTCGGTGGGGCAGTGGGGCATTGGGGCACTTACAGGTTGGTCAGGCAGCGGCACTTGCGGTGCAGCTGCTCGATCTCGTTGGCGTTGCTGATGTCGCGCTTGTCCAGCGCCGCCTTCTCGGCATCGTAGGCCGCCTTCAGGTCCTTGAGATTGCGCTGGTGCCGAAGTTCTACATCGCTGCGGATGCGGATGCGGTTGCGGATATTGGGTGCGTGGTCGGAATCGAAATCGGAATCGGATTCGGGTTTTGGGTTATTCGGGTTATATAGAGTGGGCAGAGGATTCACACACATAGCGAGAAAGAGAAAGTAAAATATTAAGAGAATCGTTCCGAAAGGGCAGAGTCTGACAAGCTGCATTCCAGAAAAACATATTTATCTTGGGGGTTCTGGAGCGCTCTACAGATTTAAAAACAATAATTTAGGTGTTCTACGATTATACAATAGATATTTTGAAACAATTTGTGAGTTATCAATGAAATCATTTAAACTTAAATTAAGTAAAATGTATTTTTTTTTGGCTTAGGAGTGATATGTTCAAGTTTTAAATATATGTTTATATATACATTCGAGAATGAGATGTGAATAAGTTTTATAAGAGCTAAAGCTGAAGTGTTTGTTCTTTCAATAAAATCTGATTTTAGTGTAACATAAATTTTTACTTGAAAATCTTTTCTGTACAAATTGTAATTTGACTTAAAAAAAAAATTTATTAGTTTTTTTATGGTACTTTTAAAAGGTTTATTTCATTCAAAGCCTTTTTTAGACACCCAAAGCAATATTTTGAAACCCATTGAGATTTCCAGAAAAACCCGGCATCAAATCAAGGAGCAAACCAAGCATAAACAGGGGTTAAGTTTTATTGGCGCACTAGGAGGTGACGGTATTTGATATAGAGCACAGCGACAATATTGAACACTAAGCATGCGATTGCGATCAGCGGCGACATGGTCAAATACAGAACATATAGCGTCGGCATATACGGCCACGCCCCCTTGGCCAACGCCCACAGGGCCGGAGAGGTTGTCGATCGCCCTAAATGCTGATCCATGCTGATCCAATGAATAAATGAGAAACGAAAGAAACAGAAAACAAGTTCATATGATAATGAATCGAGAGCCGTGAAAAAGTGGCAAGTGGCAAATGAGTAGGATGCAGACATTCAATGCAAGCCAATGGTCCTCGGGCAATTTAGTAGGGAGCAGTGGTAAGGTTTACTTATAGGTAATTAAAATATATTTATGGGGCGTGGCATGCCGCCTTGCCACTCACTTGATTCGTTCATCGGCAGCGGCCATTTTCGCGCGATGTCGTTCCACAAGTTCCTGCAGTGCCTCGTCCCTCTCCGCCTGCAACTTGGCCTTTTGAGAGTCTGTTTCGGATGAGGGAAATAAATAAAGAACAATGTGTTTATAAACATATCTTAATTAAGAAAAAAAACACAAAAATTAATATTTAAATCATAAAGGGCCGATTTCTCAATGTCATGTTAAGGCTCTAGCTTGCAATCAATTAGAAAAAGCTAAAAGGAAGTCAATGTGGTGTACATTTTCAAAACAATAAATCTTCCCAAAGTCTATTGTCAAACGAATAGTTTTGCCAATCTACAAATATTAACCACCAAATTGTCTCTAGTTATGATCAACATGATAATGAGAAAGTAATATAAGGTAAAGTGGAACAGTAATTCAACAAAAGTAAAAACTTAACAAAACATTGAGAAATCGGTTATTTATTAAGTGATGCTTTTATGGATTACGGAATGCATTTTTCATATTAAAAGTCTTTTAAAAATTGTATATTTAAATTATACAAGTAGATATATAGTTTTAAATAAGATATGAACGATTTTTAACTATGCCATTTAGCTAACCAAATTCCAAAAGTTCTAAAGGTTTTAAATTACTCTAAAAGGTGTCTTACATTTTTTATATCAATGCGATGTTTTATAAATTCATATAAATTTGAGTTCTAATTTTTGGTATAATTTTGATGTTTCCAATAGACTTTTCCCCAGACTCACCCAGCTCCTTGCGATGCGAATCGACCATGTCCTGCGTGGAGAGCTGCAGCTCCTTGGCGAACTCCTCCTTCACCTGGCCAAGTCGCTCGCGGAACCTCTCCTCCATCTCGGCCTTCTCCGCCTCGAACTCCTTCTTCAGCCGCTCCTCCATCTCCACGCGGCGGTCCTCCTCGCGGCACATGGCATTCTGGTACTCCCTATCCGCTTTATCCAAATGCATGCGGGTCTGGAGAAGGGCATTGTCGGAACGCTCGCGCAGGCTGAGGAAGTCCTGTTTCTTCTGCTCCAGGCTCTCGTGCAGCTCCTCGATCTGGAGGGGATTTCATTTTAAATATTAAATAATTTACAAGGGTTTTTGTTAAAAAAAAAGGTTACTTCAGCTCGCAGTTCCTCTTCGTTGGACGTATATCGGTTGGTCAATGCCCGCAGCTCCTCGATGTGCTCGTTCTGCAGTTTATCCAACGCATCCCGGCGCTCGTCCACATACACGGACTCCAGTTCATTTGTCAGTCTTGTCATCTCTGTGCTGTAGATATTAAAAACATTTTACAAATAAATATATAATAATAAAATATTTTCATTTTAATACTTACTAAAGTTTGTTTTCCCAGAAGGCGGCCGCCTCGTTGCGCACCTCATCGATTTTGTAGATCATTTGACGCTCCTTGTCATAAATGGCACTTTAAATTAAATGGCGTTTAATATTGAGAAAGTTGTTTGTGATTTCAGGCATACTTACTTATCACACTGATACTTGATCTTGTGCACCGCCTCGATCTGCGCCTCGAGATTCTCATTGGCCGACTGCAGATCCGCCTTCAGGTTCTCGATGCGGTCCATTAGTGTTTGGATGGACTGCTCCTGCTCGTTGACCACGCCCCTCAGCGAGTTCACCTGCGCCTGGCAGGTGCGCAGCAACTCGGACTCCTTCCGCCGGGACTGCAGCTCCAGTTCCAGCTCCTCCGCCTTCGCAGATGCCTGCTTCCGCTCGTAGTTGGACTTGTCCGTCTTGTCCTTGCACTGCCGCTGCATCTGCCGCAGCTGCCACTCGCAGTCCGTCATCAGGGACTCCTCGCGTTCTGGAAATAAAATCATGAACAATTTATTAAAATAATAAACAATTTAAATAAAACCTATAAAAATAACAATTTTATAGGTCTGAAAACCGGCAATAATAAATTTAAAGATGTACTAAAAAAGATGTTTAATATTGTAAAATATAGTATTTTACTTATTAAACAAATCCAAAACATGTCATCAAATGGACATTCCAAATATTTAATTGCAACATTAAGCATATAGTATTTATGTAGTATATATTTTAAAAGCCCAAAGAGTACTTTCATAGCTTTTGAGTTTTTGAGTTGTTTTTCTATAACTTTTTGACACATGAATAAATAATTCTCACCTCGATTGTGTGTCCTGAGCATTTCGAACTCCTTCTGCCATTTGTCCTCACAGATCTTGCGCTCCGCCTCGGAGTTGTCCAGTGCGTTCTTCAGGATGCGCATCTGCTCCTCCAGATCCGCTCGGATCCTCTCCACCTGCTGGCGCCATTCCTCAGCTTCGACTTGGGCACAGGCCAATTGTGTCTGCAAACTTTTGGCCAGGCTTTGGGTCGATTTGTACTTCTCGGTTAGTTCGGTATACTGGGCTTCGAGTTCGTCTGCAGAAGAGAAGGGGAAATATTTAAAAGATTTATTCATAAGAATTATTTAACAAAAACTACAAATAATTACTCAACAAAATAGATTACTTTCAGTTTTATAAAATGTTCTTAAAACCTTTAAATTTTTCGCGTAAATAATAAAATTAGGCATCACATTTCAAATTGTCTTAAAGGCATTTCTTTAATTTAGACATAAGTTTTCTGATGACAAACGTTCATTAAAACAATACTCACTATATTTGATCTGGAATTCATCTTGATTTTCGCTGTATTTGTGCCGTAGGTGAACTTTTTCATCCTCCAAAAGTTTCAGTTTTTTCCGCACATATTCATCGTCCTTGTGGGCTGCACTCAGTTCGCCCTGGAGTCCTGAAAAGTTTTCAATTCAGTTAAGATGTTCTTTCAATATATTTAAGAAGGGTTATCCTTACGCTCCACATTCCACTGCTTAATAGACAGTTCCTGTTCCAGTTTCTGGATCTTGAACTGCATGTCGCCAACCTTGGCCTCCAGTTGATTGGCATTCTTGTGGGCCTCGTCCAATTGGCTGGCGAATCGAACTTTCTGCTGTTTCAGCTCCTTTCTGGGAAGGCGAGTACCAGGATGAGTAATATTCGGAATAGAAACATAAATCCCTAGACAGATCAGCTCAACTGTCAGACGGATATTTCAAACAAATCTTGTCACTGAATAATCCCCAACACAAACAAAATGAATCACAAACGTGTTCCGCGCACGCAGCACGAACCGTATAAATAAATAAAAGTAAAACCGCAGAAGATACTTATTATTATTTTATATTATCGTCCCAGCGTTTATACCTATAGCTAGACATCGGCCTGACGTAATTTGAATGGAAAAGCTCGTTAAATGTGAATGAGGTGTAAAAACAGTGGCAACGTCTTCCTCAACCATAATTTGTTGAGATACAATATACTGTGCAGATATAGCTGCGGTAGACGTAGCTACACTTTTATATAATATGTATTTCCCTGTGCTTTGTTTTGTTTTGGCTTCTCAACGCAAAAATGAAATACGTTTTAATTGAATTTATCCTAGTCGATTCTTGGTTGCTGCGAAAATGCGCAAAGTTTATTTTTAAATCAACGATTTTCCGTTGTTTTTGTTCGCGCATTTTGCCAACTCTCAGTTGCTCTCTAAAACAGATACAGTGCGTTTAAATAGTATCAAACTGATAATTATGGGATCGTATTGTGTTTAATTAAGGTTCACAAAAGTGGGTATTAAAAGATTTGTTTAATTGGGGTTATTTTTAAATGTTTTGCGATCTATTGATCATATATAAAGAAAATCATTGATAAAATAAATAGTTAAAAGTATCTCAGCTATGTAGTTTTATTACCATGAAAATAATATTTATTTAAAGATAAGTTAATGAATATTTTGACCTTGACTAAATTCTAATAATCCGTTTTTAAATATTTAAGAACAAAGGGGATGTAGTTTTTTCCTCAAAATGTTTTGAAATGATTTTAATATTTACAATAAGATTTCTAATTAGTGTTACAAATTATTTCGTACACAGTTCGCATTTCGCGCCCATATGTTTAGAATACACAATGTGCATTTATCAAATTTTGAGACACGCGTTTCTAGCTTGTCTCTAGAGACAGTCGGAGATAAAGATAGACAGAGATAAAGATAAAGAGAGTGGGGATGGGAAATATATACAAAGGACAGATGCAACTCATGTACTTAGATTGAAAGTTATTTCAATTATTTTTGGCAAGAGCATCTCTGCCGGTGCCTGTGAACTTTCCGAGGCGAATGCTTAGTTTGCCAGCTTAAATTCTTTCGTTGTTTATGCCCAAGTTGATAGTTAAATCGGATTAGATAAACATCGGGTGATGAAGAGAAGGAAACAGCAGCCGAGGCTTCGGGAAAGATGCCCATTAGTTATTCGGGGCAAATTACGCATACGCCGCATGTGCCGGCGGAATAAACAATCTTTCAATGCTAGCCAGCCAAGTCAAGTGGAGGATGCTCCTCCCGTATGCCCAATCAATTATCCACCAAAATCAAGAACAACCCAAATAAAATTCCACAAGTGCACGCCCCCCACTTGTCCATTTCCTCACAAGCTTGCTCTAAATATGAACGTTTCAAAATTTACTTGTCTTTTTCTGCACTACACCTAAAATAAGCGAGGCAAATAAAAGTAGAGCAGGCAGATCGTGTTCTATGCACATGCGAAAATATGATTGAAGGAAAAAATTCTATAGTTTGGAAAGGTCGATGCTATGGATACTCTAAAAAACAGGATTTTAAAAAGATACAAAATTGTGAATGACAAGTCAAAGTGGTAAAACGTGATTGAACTACAACTTTAACAGAAAGGTTTTTCCAACCAATAGAATAAATAAAACAAATATTTATTTAATTTTTATGAAATAGGTATAAAACACAAAATACCATACCTAAGTAATATACCCAAAAATGCCAGAGTGCACAAAAAACAAGCGTGGGAAATGGCCAACATGTTGCCAACAAAAATTGCAAATAAAGAGGAAGAAAGCTAAACGAGAAATGACGAAGTGAATTTATTTTTGCCGCCGTTCAACTGTTCAACTGATTTTGAACACAATTCTAATGTTTATTATTTAAAACCGAACAAATTTACATAAATATAAATTGTCGAAATAATTGTCGCCATTTGGCTATGAGACACTTGCCGCACGGCTGTCATAATCTGTCATATTGGCGAAGGCCAAACAATGCCACCTTTCACACTGCGTATACGTAATGCGAGACATCAGCCAAAAACAAGTGGGATTTTCTAAGGAATTTGGTTCTATAGATATGGTATTTGTACAAATATTTTGTGAAGGGAAATTGTCGATCAAATCGGATTACTTCAAACGATTGCAATCGTTTTGACATCCTCCAACAGATATTTTTGATTTGATAACTTGGAACACAAATTGAAGCTTTTTTCTAAGAGTTTTGACTTTCATAATTCCTTCTATAAACATCTTTGATTGGCGTATTCCTCACAATATTTCACCCATCAAATTGTGTACAATTAATGTGTTCTGATCCATTTATAAATAGTCGCCCCTGTCTGGAAAACGCAAATCAAATCGAATCAAGCTAAGAAAAAACACAATAAATGAAAGGGGAAATTTCCGCTGTCGGATTTCCCAGTAAAAAGAAACAGATCACAAGGCATGTTCCATGACACAAAGATCAAGATAAATTGGCTGCATCTAGCCATGTTAATGGTAAAATTGTTGGCATGCGCTTGCGATTAAATAAGTACGACGTACTTGATGCCACAGCTGCTTGAACTAACAAATATCAAGTATACGTCATGGGGAGAAACATAGCTGAATTGATCTTTTATGACTTCCTGATTGTATTTAATAATAAAATAAATATTTTAAAAAAATTTATGAATTTTATTTACCATAACTCAATTAAATTGTATATTCTTTATTTCTGAGAGACATAAGCTCTCTTTCCTATGGAAAGTTAATATAAAATTGATTGAAATTGGTAAGAAGATGTTACTTTAATTTTTCTACGAATTAGATCCTTTTCTTATTTTTTGTTTTGATTGAGAATAAATAGATGAAATGGAAAAACTATTAAACCCTTTTAAGTTTTAATAATTATTGGCATATTGTTTTTGCTCACCTGAGTTCCTGGTTATCAAAGGGGCTCTCCTGGCGCACCGGCTTGTTGAGGACACTGCCATCCTCGACGATCTCGATGCTGGGCGGCATGTCCTGGCCGAGGAAGGAGTCGTCCTTGCTGCGCTGCTTGGGACTGCTGCTGCGACTGCGACCCTCCACGTGGATGGGTATGAAGTGCACATTGCCCAGGCTGTTGCCCCCCGCTCCATTGGGTATATTGATGTTGATCTGCGAATCGCCGCCATTTGTGGTTGTGGATGGTGGTGCTGTTGCTGTTCCCGATGCTGTTGTTGCCGATGTTCCTGATGCGGCGGCATTGGCGGTCGTTGACTCCACAACCACATCCGGCAGACTGATGCTCTCGATGCATACCAATCGCTCGCTGAACTCGCTGAAACGCTCAATGTCGTCGAGTTCGTCGCACTGCAGAAAGGTCTCCTCGCAATCGGTGGAGTTGCCATCGCGGATGAAGGTGTGGCTCAGGTTCTGGGCGGTGGCCATGTGCGAGGAGCTGCGGGGCGGTGGCTGAGGTGGCTGCTGTGGGGTAATCAGCTCCTGCTCCCCGATCCCGGAATCCGCATAGCTGCTGCTCAGATTGGAGTCACTTTTCAGGGCACTTCTCTCACTGCTGGCCGATTGCCGGGAGTTGCCATTCGTCTGATTGTTGCTTATATTGTGTTCATAGTCCAAGTCCACAGCCTCATCTACATCGTCCATTTCCTGATCCTCCTCCTCCTCTTCCTCGGCTTCCTCCTGGACATTTTCCAGCTTCACATGACTCAGGCGAGTCCATGGGCGACTGGTAGAATTTTGGTAGATAGTAGCTGGAATATCCGAGGCGAAGACCTCATCTTCTAAAGTCTCGATATGCGCCTCGTTGAGTTCCTCGATATTTAGCGAATCTTCGGCGGGTTCATTCAGTTCGTAGAATATTTCCTGTGTGGCGGCTTTTCCCGCTGTTTCCTCTGGAAAACTGCAATCTTCCACGGTGATCTTGGGCACTTCCGGGGACTTTTGATGCCTGGGCGGGGCCTGCGGCGGACTCACGACCGATTCACGGAACTCACGCGGCGTACTCGAACGCGAACTGTGGGCCGAACTGATTTCGTTCGGTTTGGCACTGGTTTGGCCCATGGTTATGTCACTTAATTGCTGATGTTGCTGATGTTGCTGTTGCTGCTGTTGCTGTTGCTGCTGTGGCGCTTGATGTTGCTGCTGGTTGGCCAGATGTTGCTGCGGGGCAGCAATTGCATTGCCGGGCTGCTGCTGCTGCTGTTGCTGCTGCTGTTCGGCAATTGCTGTTGGCCGCTCAACGTTTGCCGCTTGAATGATCGACGAACGCATGACTCTCGGCTCTTTTTCCGGCTCGATATCTAGCGGAAAATGCCCGTTCTCTGCGGGAAAACTCTTGTGCTCTTCCTGCCCTCCAGCTGGCTTACTTTTCTCTTCGCTCACTCTTCGTTGGCCGCTATTCTCTGGGCTATTATTAGCCAAAGTCATTTGATAAGTAGTCGGGGATGCGAGCGCGGGGTCGGAGTTCGTTTCAAGGTGTGCGGCACCACTATGGGCGATTACGTCTTTGGCATTACTTTTACTGATCGATTTATTCGGCTTGCCAGCGGCGGCAATTTGCTGCTTTTGACGCTGGTGGTTTCGACCACGCGCCATGAAAATGTCGCTAAGGAAATCGCGACTCTTTTGCAGACTTTTCCTCGGCTTTTTCGGCTCTTTTTCTGGACTATCTCGGCTGGGGCCGAGCTTAAAACTTCCCAGGGAGAGCAGCGATTGTCGCTTGTGCGGTTCACTATCCTCGTTGCGCTGGCGATGAACTATAGCTCCATCGATTTCGGACTCGAAAGTGGCAATTTGATGGTGGTCATCAACGCTTTTGCTCGCGATCGCGCTGGCTGCCTCGTTTTGACTGCTGGGAGCCGCATTTCGATCACCGCCCGAGGAATACGTCCTCGCATCTCCGCCCATTTTATTTATATACAAATGGTCGGAGCGGCCATTAGCAGCTGTTTTTGCTAATTTTAAACGCTCTTCGTCGCCGCTGGCATCGTTGTCAAAGTCGCTGGCAAAGTCCTCCAGCTCTTCGATCACCGCCCGTCGAGCTCTTTCCGGTCGCTCTTGGCTAAGAGCGGTGGATAATGCTCCGATCTGGCTATATCTCATGGGTCCCCCCTCCTCCTCATCCTCGACGATGTCGTAGGCCTGCGTCTTGTGCGTTTTTCCACGACGCGATCTTCGCAGCAAATTAAACATATTCGCTCTCTTAGTGATTTTTCTCGCTATCTCTGGTGTGTTATTTTAATTTTCCTCTATTCCTAAATCCATTTGTTCCCCTTCGTTTGGTTTTCTTTGTGTGTGTGTGTGGTTTTCGTTTAATAAACAAATAGTTGCTTTGTGGCAATTATTTCGAATTTTGTTGTATTCTAAATGCTTTCAACCTGTTGAAAATATTTTACAAATTTACATTAGTTGCTGTGGCTAGTGGGCGGGTTAATTGGCCTTAATTAGTTTACCCGCACGCGCTAAGCACTTTTTGCCGGATTTACAGACTCGACTTGGCCGGCGGATAAACTGCGACTGTTGCTCAGTCGCCGCTCCATGCGATGCGACTGTTTCCGTAATTATCGCCATCATGATCACCAACGACATCATCATGATGATGACAATGCTGGACAAATATGAGTAACAACATTGGGGCGCGTGCGAGTACTGAGTGCACTTCCAAAAAATAATTTAAATAAATTAATCTTTAACCAATAAATAAATAAAAGAAATTTATATTCTTTTTCTGGACCTTAAAAAAGACAAAAAATCAGTGATTATCTTTTGATCGATTTTTCCTAGGTAAGGAATAAAAAATAAAAATGTATTTTTGAACATATTTTTAAACTTTAAAAAAAAAAAATAAAGAACCAATCGTATAAATCGATTTGAATTTATAATAATGGTTTAAAGAATATATAAGAAATTAACAATCTTTATCTTAAATGGCAGCTTAACATACATAAATTTGTATTGCGAAAAAAATATTTCAATACAATGTAATTATTTTAAGTGCACTTTAGACAAACAGGCACTGGGCATAATTTGTTTTAATTATCTTACAGAAGAACACATACTCGCACACGGACTCAAAACTAAATACAATGCTTATGGTAAGCTTGATAATTGCTTATGAATATTAATTGATGGATAGAAAGCGGGAGCCAGTTTGCCAACCGACCGACCTATTGCCATTGTTGTGGCCAAAGCCATGCGTCATTATGTGTCATCCGATGAGCAACAACAATTTGCTAATTGTAGAATGTACATTGCTGAAAGCCAGAGCTCAGATTGAGGTATTCGACAGCTGTGAAGCATTTGAATAATCCCAAACAGAAAGTGAAAATTATTCATTGACATTGACTGCTTAATTTGGAGAATCCATTTTATTTGGGGTGGTGAAATTGAATCGGTTTTAAAATCAGTATTTTGTGGGCAACATCTATACATTTGCTCTACAAATTTTAATTTGGCTATGAGTTTAATTGTGCAAAATAATTGTTCAATTTCCAAACATTCGTTGCAATCGATTACTTTTTAAATAAAACTCCCAAAAGTATGCCAGATAAAACAATTATATCTATCTTGTTTCTTTGTTATCCATATATTTCTTCCAGTGCCCTTTAGAGATCTACTCTTGAGTCAGCGCCACTCCTTAGTCATTAGTCTTTCAGTTCCAAACCAAAGTTCAAATTGCAGTGAACAGACTAAAAATAACCTAATCTCGATGCACTGAGCACAACATCATAATCGCGGTGCCACTTCCTCCATCCGCGAAAACTCCCATTTTTCTCTTTTTCCATGCTTCTATTTCAAGTTCAGAATGCTCTCTTCCATTTCGCACATAAACGAACCAATTATAGGCAGCAATAAAATAAAGCACAATCAAAAAAAGTCTGGCAGATTTTCCAAGCAGCGGAATCGGCGCTATATAGCTAAAAATATCTATTCGGAAAAGTTGTTCTCGTAGGGCTCTCATTGACGTCACCATAAAAGAGACGAAATCAGGCGCCAGATCATTGTAATTGATGATTCGGAAGATTTATAGGTAAATGAGCAGAGATATACGAATTACATTATTATTCGACTGCCTCCATTATTATGGGTATAAATATTTGTATCTAATTGCGCATAAAAATATTCGAGCTGATGATTGTTTTAAATAAAAACATATTAAAATATGCATTAAACCTTATGTATTGTTCGCATAAATATAGCTTCAAATAGTAAAAACAAAGAACATAAGCAATGGCTAGTTATATCATTCAATAAAAAACAAATCAGAATATTTCCAGGAACACTGACAGTAAAATTAATGTTTCGGAGAACAATTTGCTCTTTGGATATAGGCAAAATGAGCTGCGCAATTTTCACATATTTCCAAATTATTTTTTTAAAAATATATTAAAGCCAAGCGCTTTCAAATTATCAAGAAATATAAAATTAAGAAAAGGTGGTTGAAGGGGGAATTCTGAAGATCTGGGTTTTTTTGTGGTCAAGTGCATGACGCTCTTACTTTTGGCACGAAATTCAAAAACGGAAATGATGCAGTCGCGTATAATGGGTACGAAATGGAAATTCAAAATCGATCTAGGAATGAAATAAATAAATTTAATTATTTCCTTTACATTTTGTTAGTGAAAACACTGACCCACTTCATAAGCCGTTCAAGTTTACAGCCTTCAACCAGATGGCACAGACTCTACATCATTGTTGAATTTACATTTCAGTCTTGCCAATTGTTGCACAAGTTCAAAAATCCAAAAACAACATACAGATTTTCAACGTGAGGAAAAGCAGACACACAAAAATAAAAGTCAAAAAGTGATACTTAAATTATAAATGTATAATAAATTTTGCACTTGGCCAATGCCATTGCCCCGACCTAAAGGCCCAAAAACTCAGTCAATAAAATCCATTAAAGAATTCTTTCTAAAAAATGTGTTAAAATATTTATACTTTTTGCGTCGACGGATGGCGGTGGAGGCGGCAAAAATTAATTGAAATTAAAATAATATGACAAAAAAATGCCACAAACAAAATATGCCATGAATATTTCGCATGCTGTTGTCGACTTCTGAACATATGTTAGCAATCAAGCGAATATATGGCAATAGATATTAACACGCTTCGAAATATGCAGTGCGTTTCATATATTTAATTTCCTAACAAATTTGTAATATGACACACTAGAAAGAAAGAAAAGAATTTTTATAAATTCATGTCTATTTTCATATTTAAAAACAAATTTACACAAATATAGTAAAAAAAAGTTTAAGATTCTTTAAAAATTTATTTAAATTATTAAAACTATTTAATATTACAATAATACAAATTTATTTATTAAATAATTATCATTTTCTTTCCGGCATATATTCTTTGCCAGCTCATTTGGAATTAATTGAGAGGTGTTATATGAAACGCACTGTTCATTGCCAACTATATAAATTTACTTCATAACAAAACACTTATTACTTGACGCGTGGAGACAGAAATCCACTTGAAATGTATTTTTCTAGCTGAGGATGACAAGCACCATGGGCGGAACAAATATGGGGAGCAAAGTATTCTATGATCTAAGATAGATTCTTTCATACACTTTCTAGCACTTTCCCTTTTATTTACATTTCTTTTATTTAATTTCTTTTCCTTTGGCAGTGTTAGCTCGATTGTTTGTTTGTCGCCGCCCACACAGTCGACCTGGCACTGGGCCAACTGACATTGACTGATGCCAGATCAGGCAGCGGATCCAAAACATTCCGGCCACACAGTTGCCGTCGCCCAGGGACGGGTTAATATTTTCCTAGCTTTTTGGATTTTCTGCCTGTCTGTCTGCTTAGATGCTGATGATTTTCCAAACAGCTTTTGTATGCTCTCTGAACTGCTCGACTTTTCTATCCTACTGCCAGTGGAGGTGATAAAAACTGTTTACCGCACATAAAACAGATATGTAAGCGAGGGGGCTAATAAATTTCAAAATTAGTGAAACTATTAAAGCGTGCGACAGGCGACTAGAATTGATTGCAACATGCGCGCCTTGAGGTGTTGAGCGAGTTAATTGTGTGTATCTTAGCAAAAGCCTTAATAATAATAAATATGTAATACGTATCTACAGTGATGGATAATTAAATAAATTCTTTTCTTTTTTTGTTAATTATAAATTTTTACTAGGATGTTATTAAATCGAGATCAAACAAGTTATAAAATAAATAAGATTTTTCAAAACAAAAAGTAAAATTTATACTATAGTATACTTTTTATATTAGCAATTCTTGGATTAATTTTGTAAATCTTGCTTTGATCTCCTGTTTTAAATGATTATTTGTTTAGTCAGTTATAATTCTTAGAAAGTCTAAAGTAAAACGTATGCGATTATTAGACTCCAACTTACTTAAAGAACTTGAAGGGATTATTATTCACGTTTACTTTTTTAATTTCTACTGTGCTTGGGTAAGTTTCAACTTACTTGAGTCTTAAACAGTAATTAATTTAAAAGATTATTTACGCAATTACACAAAACACACACGCACACACGAGTTTCAATTTGATTTGACACAGGATGACAATTAATATTTGTTAAAATTAAATTTTCTCATTTCCGCTTGGCCCACGCCGGCGGAGAGTGGTTGGGGAAAACTGGGGGAAAACACTTGTTAATCGCTGAAAAGCGACGACACATGCTCGGGCGGCCCAAGCGCATCGACTGCCCAGGGTGGAAAATCCATTTTTCACTTTTCACAATGGCGCTCACAAGGCGATCACGTCGCGTTCCAAACGGCTCGGCAAACGGTACAAGACTGCAAAAGCATCTGATCATCCGGACGAGGAAAAGTGCTGCTGCTGCCGAGGAAAATTGTCGCTCGGCCGGCGGCTATCGATAGATAGATTTAAATGCTGCTCCGAGCCACTCGACAACGTCGATCAGTGGCCAAATGGAAACGGTTAGCATCCGAGGCAGATCTCAATTGTTGCACAAACAAATGGTGGCACAGCTGACCCATAAATGTGGAAAAACATTCGCTGAGCAAATATGTTCCAGATCATCGGCAGCTGGAGAAAGGCAATAATGGCCTAATGAAGATTTTCGAAAATTAAAGTTAATCGATTTGATTATTTATGTTATTAGAGTTTATTTATTTCCTTACACAACAGAAAGATAATCCGCTGCCTTTTGCAGCTGCGCGATTTGATTTGTGGGAAAAATAATCAGAAATAACAAAAGTAAAAATTTTCAGATGTAAATTTTAAAACCAGAAGTTTACGTTTTGAAGAAAAAAGTAAAACAAATTAACGGCATTTTAGACTATAAGATATCCAGTATTTACATACTTAAGATTGTTTTTATTCATACGATTTCTTTCTATGGACCTTTCTTATTTCTAAAAATTGTATTAATATTTTATTTTGAAGTTAAAAACAAGAAAGGAAGAAAATAGGGAAGATCCAAAGTTTATATACTCTTGCAGCTCTTATAAAAATAAAATATTCTTTATTAAACCCAAATTTCCAATCAAGATTTAAACACTGATTTTTTGGGAATCAAATCACTATCATTTTATGTATGTATGCCACTTTAAAATCTGTATGAAAAGATATAGGCTTTGAAGTTCAGTTTTTGAGCACTTTTCTGCAAAACCATTTTTCGAAAATTTCGAAAGGGTTATAAAAATGCGAAAAATCGAGTCTTATTTGTCGTTTGAACCCCATAATACATCATTGATCATAAAGAAGCCGGCTCTCAGTACTAGTTATCATTAAATAAGTATAAAGCAAGACCCCATTCCTAATTCTACCACATATTCAACTTTACAAATTGCAATTAAATTAATTGATCGATTCAATTTGCACAACATATGACATATGTCTTTTTGATTGACAGAAGTTCTTACGTTTGCTTTAGAAAATAGCACTTGTTAAAAGTTTCCATACTGAGTTAGTTCAGTCTCATTTTGCTAAAGGCACTGAAACAATCCCAAAGCTGACTGAACATGGCAAGAGTTGTAAAGATATTGGTGATACTTGTCCTATGTCTATCGTTGACCAGAGGAGTAACTTATCCGGAGTTTAAATTTCTCAGGAAACTCCTTGATGTTATCAGAAAAGAGGAACCTATTCGAACGATACTAATAATCAAGCACAGTCAGGATAGAAACTGTTCTCTTCAGCATTGGAATCCGCGTGGAGTACCCATCCTAAGGGCCAATGAATTTTCCTCCATCAAGGTTAGAGGATATTTTGATGATCAATCGATTGCTTTAGTCTGCATTAGCGATGATTCAGACTCAAAGCTCCTCGAAGTCTTGGCAAACGCTTTTGACAAAATGCGACAGGAAAGAATCATACTGTGGAAACAAGAAGAACCCAAAAAAGAGTTGCTGGAACATATTACCAAGCAATCCATAAAATGGAAATTTATACGAGTAATATTGCTGGCGAATGCGAAAGATCCCAGTGGAATGCTATCATTTTACCGTATGAATGCATTTCCCAATCCACAATTTACCAAAATCAAAGTTACTTCGCATTTCAAGAACATATCATTTTTCGATTTTGAATATACATATCATGGTGCTACGGCTGTCGTAAAGGAAAGTAAAGATTCTACAGTACACTATAAACTTAATACTTCGACCGGCAATATTTTCGTATCCCAAGTCGAAGATTTGGAAATCATTGAGTTTGCCAATAAGTATAACTTGACTTTGAGAATGTATGATGAAAATGACAGCAAGACAGACCATTTTGATTTCCAGTTACATCAACGCTTCATAACCCATGATTCTCCCACCCAAATGGACTTCATAAACCCCGGTTCAGCCACCTCGTTAATGGTTTTGGTGCCCTGCAGTCGAGAGTGCGGCTTTGTGGATGTGGTCAAGATGTTTGAATCACAGAGTTGGCTTTTGTATCTTTTCTACGTTTATTTGGCTTTCGTTTTGATAGAGACCTTCATACTTTGGTTGACACATCGTATATCCGGAAAAGGACACCGATTGACCAGCTTGAATCCGCTCCTGAATCTTCGTGCTTTTCGAGCTATATTGGGCCTGCCATTTCCGGAGATTCGCAGTTCAAGCATTTCACTTCGTCAACTCTCTCTGGCCATCAGTATTTTTGGATTTATCTCCAGCAACTTTGTAAGCTGCAAGCTCAGTTCTCTGCTAACGAAGCCTTTTCTAAGGTCTCAGGTGAGAAACTTCGAGGAGTTGCGGGCCAGCGGATTGATTACTATCACGGATGCGTACACTCGCTTCTTTATAGAAAGTGAAATCGATCCACAGTTTTTTAATGAAGTTATACCGAATTACGTCATTTTAGGCAAACACGAACGACTTAGGATGCTTTTTCATTTAAACGACAGCTTTAGCTTTATAATACCCAAAAGATTATGGCTAACGGTCGATCAATTTCAAAAATCAGTGGGAGAGAAGGTCTTTTGCGAATCAAAGAATTTGATTATAGTGGAGGATATACCAAGGATGTATGTTCTGGAGAACAATTCCATCTACCGATGGATGTTGACAAGGTTCCTGATTTATATTCACGAATCCGGCATCAGTGAATATTGGATTAAACGAACTCCTATGATTTTAAGAAAATTGTATAGCCCGCCATCACATCCAAAGATAAAACCAGATGCAGTTCCCCTATCTATGGAACAGCTGAGCTGGTTGTGGCGTCTTTTGATCATAGGATATGGGACTGCCACTTTGGTATTCTTTGTCGAGATTTTTCTTAAAAAAAGAAAGCAAATCAGAAAGATTTTAAAAATGAGCCCAACCGCCGAAAATGAGGTCGTATAAAATGCTTATAAATCGATTTTATTCAAACTTACTATGCACTTCAAATAAATAAAGTTTCGCAATTTCGTTCTCTATATAAAATTGTGTTTTAATTTATTTAGCTTTATAAGTACTTAGACAGGAAACCTTGAGAAATATCTTTTCAATGTTCTTAAGGTTTTTTAATTAATAAATTGACCACTTGGTTTAATTAAATTTATCATAGAACAATCTAACTGTTCTTATCTTATGAATAGTTTCAAAGTAAGAAAATCCGTTTCCCAGTCCCACCTTTTATTTATAAGATTGAAAAAACAACGATATGCAGATATTTTTTATTTGATTAAATTGAGTGCAATAAATGTACTTTTATACCTCCTGTTTATTTGTTCCGTGTGTACTGTTCACAAGCTATGTAAAAACGACAAGTACATGTAATTGAAGTTAATTTTAACATTGATATCTGATTGATAAATAAATTGATTTTTTTAATTTAGAGCACAAACTCATGATTCCTGCGTCTTGAAATGCAGTTCCATTGTTGGTGGCCGCCCAGGAAAATTTCGATGATAAAGACAGCCGTGGCGAGCCCATATCCACATCCAAGAACAGTCCACAACCACTTCAAGTGATTCACGGATAAAGGAACTAATTTATCCTTGTTTCTATCCAGAATGCTTACATTAAGTTTGGCTCTTAAAACGTCGGGAGCTTCGCGATTCCAATGCTGAAGGATACCGGTTTCTTGGAACTGAATCGAAAACATAAAGAAGGGCCAGTAAAATATTGAGTTCTTGTGCTCTATGTACGTTCTGGGCAGACTATGGATGATGGTCAGGTTATTTGACTTGCAGAACACTCTCTTTCCAAAAGATTTTTGATAGTTATTCAAAGTCGGCCAGCTTTCCGACGGAATAACATATGCATAAGTGTGGTTAAGGGAAAGCAGCAGTCGAAACTGTTTTTTAAGAGTCACAAATTTTACATTTGTTAGGTTTTCTTTAAAATAATCAGGGCCTAGTTGTTGTTCGATGACAGAACGATGATGCATCTCCACGATGACGGTCAGGCAACTGGCACGTAAATCGTCCAAGTTTTTGATGTGCAGATGGTCGGAATGCGTTGTGAGAAGGGCACTCAACTTGCAGCTAAAAAAGTTGCTAAAGATCAATCCAAAAATGCTTATTGACAGGAAAAGCTGGCGAAGCGAGAGGCTTGATCTGCGGCTTATGGGAAAGGACATGCCCAGAAGGGCCCTGAAGGCACGGAGATTCAACAGGGGATTGAGACTGGTCAATCGATAGGCCTTGCCGGATATCTTATAGGTCACCACGAGTATGAAGGTCTCCGCCAGCACAAATATGCCGTAGACAAAAACAATGTAGAGTAGCCAAGACTGCACATCCAGGTGCTTGATCACCTCCTCAATACTCCTCTCTTTGCCACAGGGAACGACAACAAATAAGGACGATATATCATAGGGATTGACATATTTTAAGAAATTGTTTTGTTGCGACAGCGAGTTCAATCGGAAGTCGGCAACTCCCGACGATCCTTTCAGATGGGTTCCAATTGATGGGTTCATTAATTTAAGACTCAAATTGTACTTCTTGGCGAACTCTATGATTATTCTGTCTTGGGTACGAACCAAAGGTAGTTTTACCTTGTGGTACAACTTTCCTGAGACATTTAAGTCCGTTTCATAACCAGGCATGAGGTTTGCAGTTCTTCCTTTGAAGTTGAACTTGCGATGTTGAAAAATTTGGTGTTTGAGACCGAATATATTAGCGATTCGACGAAAACGGAGAACTGGAAACGCATCAAGGCGCAGTACATTCACTGCTTGATGAGGATTGTCCCCCACTTCCAGGATAAGCATAAATAGAAAAAAGTACTTCTTGCATTGGTTTAAAATCACTTGAAGAAGCTTTTTGTTGACGTTCGCTTGTATCCACAATATAATTCGTTCCTGTCGCATGTTATCAGTATCTTCAGCCAGAGTATCGAGCAGACTTGTGTCGGAATCATTGCAAATGCAGACCAAACTCACTGCATGGTGATTGAAGTGCTTTCTAACTTCTGCGACGGCCAACTGGTTAAACCGCAGAGTGGGAATTTCGGTTTGGTGCCATCCGTGGAGTGCGCAGTTCCTTGACTCATGATGATGCAGTACGAGCATGGTTCTTACTTCATTAAACTCATCTAATTTCCCTATGATTTTATTGAGAAATACCAATTGTGGGTGCTCACACGCACCTCGACTTAAGAAAGTCAATAAGAGAGAAGTTATTATGATCGAAGATGGTAAGTCCATGTTGCTCAACCACTTTTACTTAGTGCACAGGATAGACTGAATTTTAATTTGTTCCAAGCTCGAAATGTCCTCAGTTGAGTCCGTTGTGAATAAGCCGACAGCTCCCAGTTGATACATGTTCCGACCAGTCAGGGCGTAAATTAAAAAATTTTGATTAGAACCATTGAAAAGTAAGATCATCATGTTCACAGCTGACACTTAACGGTTGACAGCAAACTCATTAACATAACGAACAAACCTTCCAATTTCCAATTATTTTAAAAGCTTGAAAGTGAACTCTTTTTTATCTACTTAATAAGGTTTTTATTTATTGTTTTTTTTTTGCATTTTACATAACGAACTTGTGCTCCAATAATAAATATTTTAACATGTGCAATGTGTAATTTTTATATAATTGAGTATTTTAAAAAGTTATTTTTATTCCACAATGTCATGATTCCGGGGTCTGCGGTGCAGACCGTCCAGGAAAATTTCGATGATAAAGACAGCCGTAGCGAGCCCATATCCACATCCAAGAACAGTCCACAGCCACTTCAAGTGATTCACGGATAGAGGAACTAATTTATCCTTGTTCCTCTCCAGAATGGTCACATTAAGGTCGGCCCTTAAAACGTCGGGAGCTTCGCGATTCCAATACTCAGGGATGCCGGTTTCTTGAAACTGAATCGAAAACATAAAAAAGGGCCAGTAAAATTCTGAGTTCTTGTGCTCTATGTACGTTCTGGGCAGACTTTGGATGATGGTCAGGTTATTTGAGTAGCAGAACACTCTCTTTCCAAAAGACTTTTGATAGTTATTTAAAGTCGCCCAGCTTTCCGACGGAGTAACATATGCATAAGTGTGGTTGAGGGAAAGCAGCAGTAGAAACTTCTTTTGAAGAGGCACAAATTTTACATTTGTTAGGTTTTGTCTAAAATATTCAGGGCCTAGTTGTTGTTCGATGACAGAACGATGATGCATCTCCACGATGACGGTCAGGCCACTGGCACGTAAATCGTCGAAGTTTTTGATGTCCGGATGGTCGGAATGCTTTGTGAGAAGAGCACTCAACTTGCAGCTGAAGAAGTTGCTGAAGATCAATCCAAAAATGCTTATTGACAGGAAAAGCTGGCGAAGCGAGAGACTTGATCTGCGGCTTATGGGAAAGGACATGCCCAGAAGGGCCCTGAAGGCTCGGAGATTCAACAGGGGATTGAGACTGGTCAATCGAAAGACTTTTCCGGATATCTTATAGGTCACCACGAGTATGAAGGTCTCCGCCATCACAAAGATGCCGTAGACAAAAACAATGTGCAGTAGCCAGGACTTCAGATCCAGTTGCTTGATCACTTCCTCAAAACTCCTCCCTTTGCCACAGGGAACGACAACAAATAAGGACGATATATCATAGGGATTTACATATCTTAAGAACTTTTTTTCTTGCGACAGCGAGTTCAATCGGAAGTCGGCAACTCCCGACGATCCTTTCAGATGGGTTCCAATTGATGAGTTCATTAATTTAAGACTTAAATTGTACTTATTGGCGAACTCTATGATTATTAAATCTCGGGTACGAAGAAAAGGAAATTCATACTTTGGCGACAACATTTCGTTGACTTTTAAGTCTGTTTCCAAACCTGGTAACAGGCTTGCATTTCTTCCTTTGAAGTTAAACTTTCTATGTTGAAAAATTTGGTGTTTGAGACCGAATATATTAGAGATCCGACGAAAACGGAGTACTGGGAAAGCATCAAGGCGCAGAACAGTCACTGGTTGATGAGGATTTTCCCCTACTTCCAGGATTAGCATAAATATAAAGAAGTACTCCTTGCATTGGTTGGAAATCACGTGAAGAAGCTTTTTGGTGACGCTCGTTTGTATCCACAAGATAATTCGTTCCTGTCGCATGTTGTTAGTATCTTCAGCCAGAGTTTCGAGGAGACTTGTATCGGAATCATTGCAAATGCAGACCAAACTCACTGCATGGTGATTAAAGTGTTTTCTAATTTCTGCTATTGCCAACTGGTTAAATCGTAGAGTGGGAATCTCAGGCTGGTGCCATCCGTGGAGTGCACAGTTCCTGGACTCATTATGATGCAGTATGAGCATGGTTCTTACTTCATTAAACTCATCTAATTTCTCTATGATTTTATTGAGGAATACCAATTGTGGGTTCTCACACGCACCTCGACTTAAGAAAGTCAATAAGAGTGAGGTTATTATGATAGAAGATGGTAAGTCCATGTTGCTTAACCACTTTTACTTGCTGCACAGGATAGACTGAATGGTCTACTCTTTTAATTTGTTGCAAGCTATAAATGTCTTCAGCTGAGTGCGTTGTGAATAAGCCGACAGCTCCCAGTTGACAAATTTACCGACAAGTCATGGTGTAAATTGAAAAATTTTGTTTATAATCAAGGAAAAGTAAGATCAGGTGACAGCTGCCACTTAACGCTTGGCAGCAAACTCATTAACTTAACGAACAAACCTTCCATATTTCAATTAATTTGAGCTCGAAAGTGAACTCTTTTTTATCTACTTAATAGGTTTTTAATTTAGCTTGTTGCATTTAACTTGTTGCAATCAATATATATTTATGTAGATTAAAAAGTTATATTTATTCCACGATGACTTGATTCCTAGGTCTGCGGTGCAGACCTTCCATGCAAATTTCGATTATAAAAACAACCATGGCGAGCCCATATCCACATCCTAGAACGGTCCACAACCACTTCAAGTGATTGAGGCATAGGGGAACGAACTTTTGATTGGGCTTCCTAACAACGCTCACATTCAGATCATTCCTTAAGTGGTTGGGAGCAGAGCGAGTCCAATGCCCAAAGATGCCGGTCTCTTGGATTTGAATCGAAAACTTGAATAATGGCCAGAAAAATACTGAGTTCTTGTGCTCTATATACGTTCTGGGAAGACTTCGAATGATGGTCAGGTCCTTCGGGATGCAGAAAACACTCTTCCCAAAGAGCTTTTGATAGTTTTTAAGTATCGGCCACTCTTCCGAGAGCAAAACATATGCGTACGTGTTGTTAAGGGAAAGCTGAAGTGTAGCTCGTTCTTCATGCCTTACATATTTGACCCTTGTCAAATTTGTGTTTAAGAAATCAGTGCCTAGTTGGCTTTCAATGAGCAAACGTTGATGTATGTCCACGATGACGGTCAAACCACTAGCACGTAAATCGTCGAAGTTTCTTATGTGGGGATATTCGGAATGCGTTGTGAGAAGAGCACTCAACTTGCAGCTGAAGAAGTTGCTGAAGATCATTCCAAAAATGCTTATTGACAGGAAAAGCTGGCGAAGCGAGAGACTTGATCGGCGGCTTATGGGAAAGGACATGCCCAGAAGGGCCCTGAAGGCACGGAGATTCAACAGGGGATTGAGACTGGTCAATCGATAGGCTTCGCCGGATATCTTATAGGTCACCACGAGTATGAAGGTCTCCGCCAGCACAAAGATGCCGTAGACAAACACAATGTGCAGTAGCCAGGACTTCACATCCAGTTGTTTGATCACTTCCTCAACACTTCTATCCTTGCCACAGGGAACGACCACCATTATGGATGATATATCATAGGGATTTAAATTTTTGATGGGCATTTGATCATAGGACACCAAGTTGAGTCGAAAGTCAACAATGCCTGAAAAGTCGTCAGTCACTACTTTTGTACTAATATTAAACCTTCTGACGAACTCCAGCAATACCAAGTCTTGGACGCGACCTATGGGAACTTTAACCTCAGGGGTCAAGCGTGCGTAGACTCTGTGACCCGGGTCCGAACTAGGAAGAAGGTTTGCCGTTTTTCCCTTGAAGTTAATCTTATTACGAAAATGGGGCATTTCGAGTCCGAATATGTTACCCATTCGTCGAAAGCGGGGACTGGGAAAAGGTTCTAGGCGACGTACAGTGACAGCTTGCTCAGATTGATCCTTCACCTCCAGGATTATAACATACAGAAAGTCGTGCTTCTCGGATTGGTTGGAAATCTCGTTAAGTAGCTGCTGGGTGACATTCGCTTGTATCCACAAGACAATTCGTTCCTGTCGCATGCTATCAGTATCTTCAGCCAGAGTTTCGAGGAGACTTGTATCGGAATCATTGCAAATGCAAACCAAACTCACCGCATTGTGATTGAAGTGCTTTCTTACTTCTACTATGGCCAGCTGGTCAAACCGCAGAGTGGGAATTTTGGTCTGGTGAAATCCGTGGAGTGCGCAGTTCCTGGACTCATTATGATGCAGTACGAGCATGGTTCTTACTTCATCAAACTCATCTAATTTCTCTATGATTTTGTTGAGGAATACCAATTGTGGGTGCTCAGACGCACCTCGACTTAAGAAAGTCAATGAGAGTGCAATAATTATGATTGAAGATGGTAAGTCCATGTTGCTTAACCACTTTTACTTGGTGCACAGAATAGACTGAATGTTCTACGGGCTAAAATTGACCCAAGCCAAAGATATTCTTACCTAAGATGACAGCTGACAGTTGATAGATTTATCGAAAACTCATTAAGTGAACGTGCAAATTGGAATGGAAATTATTACTGGAATTATCTTTTTTGAAATATATGAATGCACAGCACATGCTTCATTGCAATCCATAACAAATGCTCCTAGACTGCCCACATAAAAATACAGAAAATGGTAATTTATATGAGTCCCATCAGTTGACATCTGTCACTCATGTTTTTTAGAAAACTAATAAATTAAATTAACAAGTTTAATTTGTTTAAAAACCTTTAATTTAAATGAAATTACCAACGTACTGGGAATGCTGTTCTTCCTTTTATAAGTTGTGCATAGCTAGAAAATTTAAAGTTTAGTTTTATGAATCTAAGTATAATAAAGTTTAGATGAGACTGAGATTAAATTTTTCAATTTCTCAATGTCACAAAATGAACCTGAAGGTTTTAATGAGTAAACGCTTAACTTACTATCGACAGCTGTCAATTTAAGTCCAAGGAAGTTCACTTAGCTTAATCAGTTGTGAATTATTTGTTTATTTTTCTTCAATTACGATATTTAATTGCTTAATTAAATAAAAAAACTCTTGAGCTTGGCATTGGGAAAAACGTAGAACACATTAATGCCAAAACTCATTCATAAAATAAACAATCTCTGGAAAGGCTTTATTCTAAAAAGACTGGGATGTGTGAAGATCATTTGTGTTTTAGTTGCTATTTGCTGATTGTTTTTGCTATTTTCCGAGAATATCATTTTCAATTGATGGCCATAAAATATTACCGCAAATAATCTCGCATCTGTCCGAACGACATTCTGCTAGTTCTGTCTGGCGAAGAGCCACAGACAGTCATTAATCAGGCGGCAAATTGTCACAATTTGTGGCCATTGTTTGTCTGTATTTGTGCTGCTGTAATTATTACAATTTTGCTTAATTGTTTTTGTTGCGGTAGCTGTTGCCGTTTTTTTTTGTATTTTTTTTTGTTTCACATATGATTGTTTACATTTAGCAATTGTTGGCCGCGCGCATCGCAAGTCGCTCGCTTTGGCTTAACGATGCTAATTTGATTAATTTCCCTTTGGCCAACACACGTCGTATACGTAATGCCCATAATCCGCCCTGTTACAGTTTATGAAACGTTAATTAGGACTGATAATTGCCAGGGCATGGGAGAATGTTAATTGAAGCACGGCGCACTGTTTTCATTATGCCGATTGAGCGGGGCACCATTCAATGGAATGTCAATTGAGGACGATTATGACAGTTGGCACTCAGTAACCGCTAATTGTATGATAGCTCAGCATTAAATGGGTTCTTTAAAGATATTTGATTAGGTTAAATAGAGCTGATGGTGTTTTACAAATACCTATATATGAATATATCAACCTATCATATTTAAAATGTTCTTAGTTATATTTAAAAAAAAACTGATGTGGTAATAAAATATTTTAAATTAAAATATTAAATTTAATTTTTACCGCGTACCATCTATAAAGGAAAAACCCCCTGTTCGATATAAAATTGAAGTTCACGCAAAGCTTTATAGTATTAATGTAACAATATTGTCCCATCAGAGCTGCCTGATGCCATTTCCACTCAATCAGTTGGGCGGCCTCGAAACCGCACAAAAAAAAAATAAGAAGAAAATTTCATGAAAAATTGAATAAACAAATCTGATTATGCGTCGTGCACAGAGACACTCCGCCGCACACTCTAACACCCGCAACCGTCGCTGTTCAATTTAGAAACCGCAATTTGTATTTTCCTCTGTCTGATATCCATATACGCAAAAAAAACACTTATATATATATAGGTTTTCAGTCCCATTTCCAGCGCTGACAAATGCAAAACCCCAGCGTTTGGCCATCGGTTCACTCTAAATGTTATTTATAATAGAATTTATGCCTAGTTGTCGGGCATCTATACTCCGGCCTGAAATGAACTGGACCAAATGCAAATGGCAGCATGTCGCCAGCGTTCCAATTTCGTTCCTGTATCAGATTTTTATACCCTATACCACACCCCCGATGATGGGGGATATTATATATTGCATTCCTTTTTAAGACTTAGAAGCTCTAAAAATTTTAGGGCTTTAATGTTAAGCCATTGTTAACTGTTGGTAAATTATGATTATATTTAGAGCAGAGATTATCAGTCGTAAATCTTGTATACATATTATCAAACATTTAAAGAGAACCTAAAGTCTATTTTAAGTTATTCTCATGATTTAATATATTTTTTAATCTATTAAATAATAATTTTAAGCTAACTTAAAAGGTAATCCTTAGGTTTAGTTGATCAGACACTTGTCCTATTATTTGTTTTCATTTTCCCGGCTTGGAGGCCGGTTTAGGCAACCGCAGAATTCAGCAACAGCATCGGCGGACGGCGCTATAATGAACCATTTTGTGGCTGAAAATAGAAAAAAAAATTGTATACCCAATAATACCAAAAAATGTTCAGATTTTCTTTTTGCGATGCATTTTGAAATGGTTCATAAATTGAAATCGAAATTGAAATGGACACTGGGCAAATAGCATTTGACATTGTATTAAAATAAAGTCATAAATTGGGCAAAATGTGTGTCCTGTGTTCTCATTTCCCTTTCCCACTTTCTCCGTCTGTCTCCCGCTTTCGCCTCTTTCTCTTTCTGTCTATGTGTGCGTGTGCCCCGAAGCGTTAAAATTGCATGAAGGCAAATCTCAATGGCATTTATGTGCTGTTGTGGCGCCGCCATTAACACGGTCGAAAATGGCAGGGTGTGTGCGAATGTTTGGGGGTGTGCGGGGGTGTAAAAGCGGTGGTCTATGGGCCACTGCGTTGTCAGCCATTGTCAGCAGTGGTGTTGGCCATACAACAATGGCCGCTGGCGGCATGTGTCAACAGCTGTTGCACCGCCGTAGCAGATGCATAATTTTTGGCCTTTGCTGCCACTGGCCTACTCATACTCGCTAAATGGACAACAAAACCGGCACAACAGCGTCGAAAAATGAATGCATTGGTAAAAGTCAATTTAATTACAAACAAGCGTATTTAAATTTAAATCAACCCGCCTCGGTGTCACAATTTTATTCCGATGTACAATGCAATTAGTTTGTTGGTGCAATGGGAAATATAAGTAAGGTTTTTATTTATGAATATTTTCATTTTTACATTTATAACTATCTTGGAATAAAAATATATTATAATATAATAAGATACAAGGCTTAAATATACAATAGTTTTATAAATTATATGATTCATATAAATTATATGATTTGTTTAAAATAATTAAGAAAAATACCATACAAAACTGTCTTATTTATTTTTCTTTTCAAAAAAAAAATTATTTTATATTATATTATTAAGATTATATTATTATATTAAGAAACCATTTAATGATTTCATTTATATTTGTAAATGTACTTATCATAGTTTTAACAGTAAAAATATTTTATTATTATTACTTTGTTTTGAGATCATGATTATTTTTATTTCGTGTAGAAGGAACCCTTTAAAGTAAACTTTAAATATTTTAGTAGTTACTTTCTTCCGCTCTCTTCCGTATGTGTGTGCGTGCATGTAAATAGTTCACACGGCCACTAAAACGGAAGTCCCAACGCACACACACAGTCGCCAGAGGCTGCTTGTGTGTTAGTGTGCCACTGCAGGCGCTGCAAAGTATGCTACGAAATATTTTCAGTTTCATGCGCCAAGGCTTTACATTCATTGTGTGTGTTCCCGACACGCCCCTAGCCCGATTTCCTGCCCCGCCCCTTCCCCTCTCTGTGGCTGAAAAATGGAATTGTTTATTTGCTTTTGCCTTTTCTTATTTAAAACTATTTTATGTGCCTGCTGTCCCAGCGTAAACTTTGCCAAAACGATAGAAAGTGCAAGAAAAATGCAGGAACAGGACAGGGAAAGTCCTGCTGGAAAGAGAGGGAAATAGAGAAAGAGAGGCTAGATGTGCACCAGCAATTGGAGTGTGAAACGTTTTCACTTCCGTGTGCCTTTGGTCCAAGTCTCCGTCGCTCCTGCAGCACTTTTCTTAACATGCACATAAAGTTTAGTCGATTCTGTTGCTGCCTTCGTTTCGACCACGGCTTACACTCGCTGCCTTTCGACCGAAATCCCATTTGGCACTGAATTGTGTGCACACATTGAATTTGTAGCTAGCTTAAAACCCTAGCAATCTATGGGCATTAATAGATATTTTATCTCTGCATGTGTGCGACCGTAGTATTTATACGACTTCTTTTTGTGCAGTGTAATTGAATTGAAAGAGCTGGGAGTCCATGTTTTTTATTTTCGTTTGGATATAGTAAACTTATGTTGGATGTTGGTCAGCCTACACCCGAAATTTGGGATTGGTAGAGAAAAAAATAATTTGATTCCTATTTCGTCAATAATTTCAGCAGGACCCTTAAAGAATAAAATTGTATTTTAAATTAAAATAACTTGTGTTAACAAAAAAATAAGAACAAAAATTATAAGTATTTAAAGCAATCAATTTGGCCTGAGAAATCTTGTACTCTACCAAAGAACAACTGATTAAAATTTATATTTAAAATTCAGTTTACTCAAATAGAGTTCTTTTAATCTTATTTTTGGCCCAAAATTATTTTCTTGCCTGTATATTTGATGCCCTACAGCTAGCAACTGAAGATGGCCAACGGTTTATGACGTGTTTATTCGCCACAACAATTGCGACACAATTGTGCCACATGCAGTGACATTTATGTGACCAACTCGAGTGCGAGAGAGATGGATGGTGGGTGGGACAGAGAGGGGGCGAGTGTTGTCTATGAGTTATGGCTCTTCAAGCGGCAACTGCAACCGCTGCATGCAACGTTGACACATTTTACTGTATGTGTGATAAATGAAGCATGCCAAGAAAAGCCAAGTCCAGGCACGTGACAATTGCGACTGCCTTCGAGTGTTTGCTTTAATAGTTTAGGCCAGAAAATGACTCAACTTTATGGCTAAATAATCTTGATGTTTGCAAAATGCTTTAGTAATTTTGGCTAATTTTTCAAGTTCTAAAGACCTAAATAGGGTGAACTAATAGGGTTATAAATTGACAAGGTATATATTTGGTTTTAGGATTTTTCTGAGACTAGATTTTACTGTAGTTGCAAGGAATATGAACTGAGAGCTACGACTGTAAAAATCTGATAATAAAATTAGTCAGAAGCACTATGTTATTCACAAGTGAGCAATTATTTTTATTTAATTTTAAGTTTTATGTGATCAAAAGAAGAGACAATCCTTTAACCTTTTAAAATTGAAATCCTTACCGGTTTTAGGCTTCAGTTAAGCTCAAGGCAAATTGATTTTATTGAAATCGAACAGGTAAACGAGTGTACAAAAGATTCTAGTTTACTACCATCTGTGCGCCAGTTAAACTCCGAGAAGGAATCTCTTTTCGGCTGGCAACTCCTTGGCAATTGAACAATAAAGTCATAATACTCTTTTCGTGTTCTTCTCGCAAGCGCATGGAAAGGCTGTGTGAGCCCTGGCTAAATGAAATAAAATGCAATAAAATAACAACTTAACACCTTTTGCGCAAAATAGACAGAGCGAGCATAAAAGGGAACAGCCATCGGAAGACCCCGAACCGCCGCCCATCCCCAATTCCCACTATATCCATACAATTCACCCACACAAGTGCGCAGGCAATGCAAAAAGCAAACCGTAAGCGCAGACTAAGCCGATTATAGCACGAAAGTAACGGCAATGATGGGCGGTATGGGAGTTGGAGATATACACCGAGAAAATCACTATTTACGAAAGTAAATTTAATTGTAAGGACTTATACCTTTCAAAAAACGTGAAAACTAAATGGATATTGCAATATTATATTTCTCTTTGTTATTGTTTTTTTTTAGAGCTCTAATAATAATATAAATAATCATATCGAATGTTCGGAACAATCAATACCCTACTCAGGTCAATCAGGATTTTCAAAAAAAAAAACAGTTTATGAATCAAGACTTTAGCCTAGAAAATCTAGGAATGCAAATTTAATTATTCAAGAATCAAAAACTAAAAACGTTCAATAGTCTGAAATATGCTTATGCCGAATAAGAGAATTCGGTATTTTTCTTAGTGCACCAAGAGAAAAGGGGAGTCACTTGGCAGGAAGTGCGTGGCGGGCAGACAGAGACGGAGACACAGATATAGACAAGGACGGACAAGGAGTCAGGCAGGCAATGAATTATCGCACTAGCTGCGCCAGCAGTCGAGACAAAAGTGTTGTAAAAAATGTAGTACTATTAATTTTCTTTGCATATCTTATTGTATCTTCATAAACAGACACGCACACAAGCCAGTCTGGGAAAATAGGGGATAACCAGGGGAATGTTGGTGGTGAGACAGTCCTCAGGAAACTGGCTTAGTGCTAAGAGATTTCTAATTCAGTTGAGCAGAAATAAATTACTTACCGTAATTGTTTGCCATATAAAACTGTAGCAAAATACCACTGAGATCTCTCGGAGTCGTTCCCCTCCGTTCCCCATGTTTTCCCAGACAGTGCTGCAAAAAGGATTCCAACATCTTTGCCTCATGCGTAAGGAAAATCTTAAATATCTCCCTGGGAACCACGCTCTTGTGCTTTTGGAAACTTTAATAATTTTTGCAAAATTTATTCACTTGTTTACTTTTAATTTATCTACCGCACACTTATAGTTGACACGAGTGCAAATTAATGCCCTTTCATTTTGTGCTTTATGTGAGCATAAATAATTGTGCAAAGGCAAGCACAAAATTGCGCCGATTACAATTTTTAATTATTTTTTAATGAACTACAAACGGTACAAAAAATATTGACAAAAAAAAAGGAGAATGGCCGCTGAAAAAACCTGTCCTTTACATTATAAATTTATGCGTGTTTAAAGTGAATTTATTGCATGTTTAATTGTGGATAATGTGTCAGACGCAGGCGTCCAGAAGCCAGCAACCATCTGCAATCCCTTTCATTCGCCGGACCTCCGCTGGGTAATGAGAATTTTCACTTTTATGATCTCCGCTGGGTAGCTGCCGCAGTAATAAAATCATGCCTGTTTGGCTTGAGTTGGATTTATGTGAGATTTTCTGCTTATCGGGGATCTTGGGGGAGTTCTTTATCACTCAGTTAATAGTTGATACTATAGTTGATTAATTTAATTTCATTGGTTTTTAAGTCTACTTTTAATACTGCTCTATTACAGTGTTTATGGAAGTGCCATTTGGCAAAATCGTTTTATGAGCAGGTGCTAGTTGGAAATAACAAACAATTTAAGACGAATCATACTTTATGGGAGAATAAATTAATTCGAATGTTTTTGAGAATAAATAAATTTTAAGATAAATATAAATTTAATTGGGGTATTTTAAATATAAAGTATATTTGGTCAAAAAATGGCTTTAAGACTTCATTTTTTCATAATCTTTATCATCTCCGCAAAATGTACTCTTAATCCACCTTTCCTTTTGGTCATCATCAACTGATTTGATCACCTTGCATCCATTTTCGGGACCACCGGCTTCAGTGAGCAGCACTTACGCCAGTTACGTGCTGGTGCTGGCTCCAAAAATCACGCATTAGCTGCCACTTTGCACTTAAAGTCATAAATTTATTTAAATATATGGGAGGCTCCAGAGCCGTATATATAAACGCACGAGCCGCACACGTTCGCCCCAGCGCCGTTGTAAAGCAAAATTTATATTAACTTCATTTGGTCCGGGTGGTGGTGCTACTGCCTGCAATCGTTGCATAACTCATACGCACCGTGTGCCGGCGACCGTGCCGTGATGCGTGGAAAACTGGCTGTAGCGACGGCGGCGGCGGTACTGGAACTGGTACTGGTACTCCAATCCGCCATATCACCGACACAAAGCGAAGAAAGGGCCTCGAAAAATGGCAGCCAAGAGAATTTTAAATTACGCTTTTGAGTGTCGACTGAGGCTGAGGCCGAAATGCAGCTGCAACTGCAGTTGCTGCGTGCATTTAATTGCAAATGAAGCAAGAGGAACGGCGCAGCCAAAGCGCTGACAATGCCAATTGCCAGCTTCAACTTCAGCTGGCCCTTCGCCTCCTCCTTTTCTCCATCGACATGAGCCACATGCAACGGCGAACTGCAAATGACGTTTAATCAAAGTTGTTGAAATTGATAGCATTGTTTGTAGTGCACGCGCGCCAAATGGCAAAATGCATTTTAAATTGCGCTAAATGTGTTAATTAAAGTTACCCCTCCCACGATCCAGACACGAATTTGCTTTTGCGGCAGATTGGCCGTGATTTTGTGGGGCCAAGAACGAATTCCCCTAAATAAGTAATAGAACAAGTAGCTACCAGCTAGGTGAAAATGCAACAGATTTGAATTAGAAAAGCACGGAAAACGAAACCAAAAGGGGGAACTCGGAAAAATTGCAACTTAGTTGCTTGGCAGGCAATAAAATAAAGTCTTAGCCAAGCGCCAGGCAGAAACTGGGGGCACTTTTAATTTGTTGTGCAACAAATTAGCATTTATTTTCATTAGGATTCCAACTTGCTGGGTGTCTGCTTGGCTCGCCGCCCCATCGCATTTTCCCATTCATTTTTTGTCAGCTCTTATGCTCGTTGTTTGCTTTTAATTATAAATACATGTAAGCTTATCATTTTTAACCCATTGTTTAAAAAAGCCTGAATTTAAAAGATTTTAAATTAAATTATTTTTATAATAACATTTTTTCTTATTATTATTATATTAATTATCCATTAAATTAAACAATAAATAAACGTTAGCCTAACCATAGTTACCAAGGATTATAAAGTAATTTGTAAAAATTTATGGACTAAATGTTCACAATTTTATTTACTAACAAGAAGGATTGAAGGATTAGTTGTGTTATTTAATTCTCAGTTTTACTTTTTAGTAAATTTATAAATAGTTTTCTTTTTATATTTAAGCTTTTCAAGTATTTCAGGGTTTTACATTTATATTGTTTGTAGCACTGCTTAAATAACTACAAAAAATAAAGAGCTCTGTGCCATAAACATTGGTTATGCGTACCTAAAAAATCCATTGAAAAGTTCTCGCCCATCCACCTTCTTCCACCCCATTTTCGTGCAATGGGTTAATGCGGCAAATCCCCTCCTTAAAACATAGAAATGTGCGCGGGATTCTTGCATTCAATTAATGCGTGTGCGAGTATAGAAAGCATCGCCGCGTCGCCGCTGCTGACCATCCTCGTTCTCATCCCAGTCCGCATCTTCATCCCTATCCCGATCCCTATCCCTATCCCGATCCCTCTCCCGATCCCTATAGCCATACCCATAACCATAACCATGACCATCGTCATCATCACCACCTTGCCGGCGCTGGGCATTATCCAAGTAAGAGCTCACGCCCGACTGAGCGCCCAACGAAGCTGAAGACCACGGTGCGGATGAGTAACGCTGCCTGCCATAAGACCAAGGATGCCGACGGGAGTTTGTGCCGGCATACGGGTTGTAGTGGTGCTGATAGTAATCGGACCCCAACTCCGAATCAAAGTCGGGCCGGGACGAGTGGTCGATGTGTGTGGTGCGATTAGGATAGAAATCAGGACGAGAAGGAGGTCTGCGCTGCCCGTAATTATAATCATCGTCCACGATGTGGGGACGATAGTCATGGGGCTGGTTGGGTTGGCTTTGCTGGTTTGGCTGGTACTGGGCCTCCAGCTGGTGGGGCTTATTAGCAGCCACCTCAAAAACACCGCTGTAGGGCGACTGCAGCACCACCGTGGGCGTAACAATGGAGGGCGGGACACTGGGCCCGGCGGCCGGAACTAAAGCAGCCTGATTCCAAGATGATGCCGCCGCCGATTCGGTGGCCGTGGTGGAGGTCTGTTCGCGTGAATTCATCTCGGCTAATTTGTTGAAACGGTTGCGAGTGCCGCTGGCGGTGAGCACCATCACGGTGGGATTCATGTCCACCATGTGATCCTTCAGGCAGTTCTGCAGCATGTTTATGAAGAAGAAGAACGAGAGGAGCGTTAGTGCGTTCATCACCGCGCCGGCGCTCTTCTTCTTCGATTTCTTCGAGGATTTGGTGGGCGGCGGCGGCGGTGGCGCGTGGTGCACCGGCGGTGGGTGGTGCGGCGGGTATGCGGGCCCACTGCCCCCCGAACTGCTCGGGTGGAAGGAGGAGAAGCTGCCCGAGGGTGGGTCATTCTGCAACTCGTACTCCACGGATGGCTCGATGCTGCTGCGAATTTAAACTTGCATTAGGTTCGGGCTTGGGGCTGAGATTGAGGTTCCGGTTTGACTTTGGCTTCCAGGGCACACTGAGAAAAACACTCAAGGAGCTAAGGATAAAATAACTTTTTCAAAAAGCAAAAATGCAAAAAAAAAAAATTTGTAAATTATTTCTTAATCATTTTGTTGTTTTTAGTCATCGGAAACTAACATGAAAATGGGTCAAAAAATTGATTAACGTTAAAATGAAAATGAAATCAAACCACGAGTCGTAAGAAGTATGCCATTTTGAAATCGGATTAAATTTGGTAAAGTTATAGACTCTGGAAATCCAATTTGGGGTTATCTTATTAGAAGTCATCGGAAACTTGAAAAAAACGAACATGAAAATGGGTCAAAAATTTGATCAACGTTAAATCGAAAATTTTGAATGCAGATTTTTAGAGAATCAAACCACGAGTCGTAAGAGGTATGCCACTTTGAAATTAGAATAAATTTGATAAGCTTTTAGACTTTAGAAGTCCAAATTACGAGTAATGGCTTCATTACTTCCTACAAAATTATTAATAGGTTTGTTTTAGATTTGATTTAAACTCAAACAAATATTAAGAACAGGGTTTTAATTTAATTTATTTACCATGAAATGGAGTTTCTTGATTTTGTCTCAGTGTGGGGTGGCTGTGGGCTTACCCGTAGCCTGAGTGTCCGCTGCCAGCCGCCGAGGTCGCATAAGCACCGTTGTGGCTGCTGGCGGCCGCCAGGAGTGGAGGTCGTCCCTGCTGCGCCTGGTGCCCCTGGGGTCCTTGGTGTCCTTGGTGGTAATGGCCCGGGAAGTAGTGGCTGGGGTAGTAGTGGTTGGGATAGTAGTGCATGCGCTGCGTTTGACTGCAAGAGAGGGTGAGATGGGGAATCAAAAGGCCGAGACGCCGCTCCTGTTTGTGTCCCACATTAGCCCGACTAAGTTCCTGAGGTATCAGTCCACCCGCAGCGGCAGCCTTGTGGCGATGGAAGTTGCTTCCTGCACTTCATCGTATAATCTTTAAGTCAATGGGTACACTTAATCCTGTTGCTTTTCATTTATCAATGAAGCTCTAGCCTGTTGGATTACTATAAAACATTATACTGAAGTTCTCACTAAGGCGCTTGTTAATCTATGTATTAGCTTTCCTGAATTAGTTTGAATGGGGAAAATGTATTCCAATTTTAAATGTTAGCTTAAAACTACTCATTTCGAAGAATGCGTTTTATTACTCAATTTCTTTAAAAGGAGTTAAATTAAAACTTATTAAAAATTGCAATTAAAAACTTTATTTTGTGTTTTGTTTACAAAAAGTTTCCTTAAGGTTCCTATTGAGGTACAAACCACATTAATTAACTTTAAACTTCAGTTTAATATTCAGATCAAAGCTACTGTATAAATTTCCTAATATGTATGGTTTTGAATATATTTTTCTCCTGTCGTTAACATGTTGGAAATAAAGGAAATACTTGCTTTAATATGTCTTATCAGTTTAATTTGATGTCCAGGTATAACAGAGATGACCGTGGGCCATGACTTACTCATAATTGTTTCCCGAAATGGCTGCCAGCAGCGGGTGTTGTTGAAAATTCAGCTGACTCGTCGCTTCGCCGTGGGACATTGTCGCCGTCTTTGAGTTCACAATTTAATTTCTAATTGATTTGTGCCAAAATGCGCGTATGTTTATCACTTCACAGCAACGTGCCTCATTGTTGCTGCTGCTTAACCTGCCATAAACCGATGGCAACTCGCCTGCAGAAGCCGCAAACAGGACGAAGGGGACGAGGAGCCGGAGATGGAGTCGCAGGAGGCGGAGGTGGAGATGGAGCGCCCAACCGCAAGTGACAATGTCGCTTAGGCAACTGGGCAAAGCCTTTGCCAGACACTTGGCTGGCAGGCGGCTATTAACGCAGGTGAAATGAGGGGGACTGTCATTGTCAGCTGCTAAGTGAGTTTGGCTACAACTAGCAACTGGCAACTGCAACGGCCTTAAAACTACCACTCAATGGCAGTGATGGGAAGTGGGTAAGTAGTTGTACCTCAAGGCACTCGTGGGTACCTGATGTTGTGCACTTTTAACATTCCTTACTTAATATAAAATAATCTAAATTGTTTAAAATTCCAAGAAGATGATTTAAGAATTCTTGTTGTTAAAATAGACACAAATTTGTTTTATTACATAATAATTTTCTTTGGTTAACTTAAAGGTTACAAAATGCTTTAATTATGGTGTTCCTTGGATTGTTAAGCTTTTAACAATGTCACCACAAAATATAAAATTTAAGAAAAATGATTTTTAATTATTCTCAACAACTAGTGAATACTGGACACTGTCTAATTAAACTGAAGTGTATATATAAGTCTATAAAACAACTCAATTCGTTTATCTATAGTATTAAAATAGTAGCTGAACTGCATCCAAAAATTGTGGTGTGCTTTTTTAAATCTTCATTCATTTTCTCAGCTTACTTATAGGTTGCCATGAAAACGGGACTTATTCCCATAATTTAATGTTGTACCTTGGAAAAGGAGCTGTACCCCTTCCATCACTGCTCGCAAGCCGTACCAAACTGCCAGCTGACAATTGCCGGCAAAGTGTTTTGCGGCGACATCGGCCAACTGACACACACCTGAATTGGAGCGTTGCGCTGCATGCATGCACTGCACATTTCGGCCAGGCCAGACAATTAGTGCACGACAAAGGCCGGGAATGCTCCTTGGCATCTTCGCAACCCGTTCCCCGATTCCTGTCAGTGTTAATGACGCTGCAGTCGCTTGTTTATTGCATTAAAAGCTCTATGGATGCAGCGTTATGCATCAGAAATTGTCATAATTGTGCCCTGTGTCTGGCCCTGACTTTGCCACAGTCTGCACAGCCAAATGGAGCTCGGTTCTTGTGGTCTCTTGTGCGGTTAGTCGAACCCGGCTTTTGGCCAGGCCCATCCCCTCCAGCCTGCCAGCTCTCCATGCTTCGCGGTCTTTGGTCTTTGGACTTGAAGATTTATGACTGGGGCTAATAGTTTTCATTGCCAGAAATATGTTTTTTATATTGAATAGCGTTTAGTGGGTATATAAGTGATCTGAAGGTTCCAATCCGAATGATTTCTAATTTACAGCAACTACTTGTAGTATTATTAAAAAAGGATAAGCTTACTCCTTAATTAGATAAGCAATATTTATAAATAGATTTTTATGTTCTTCAAACACGGAAAGAATTCTGTGAATATTCATATTTATTATAAGATTGCTTTAACAAAATATATTACAAAATACGTTTGAAATATTCTACATAATTGTATAACTATCAAATTTAATGCAACAAACGTGTTGAACATAATTTATCTTTTAACAAGTATAACTTATTCGATCATTTAACACAAGTTCTCAAAAGTCGCTGGCTGTTGTCTTTCGCAAAAGCCGGAAACATTAGACTGCAATAACAAATATTTAACATTTCCGCAGCGCCAGCAACAACGTGAAAGCAAGAAAAACAACATCAGCCAGATTCACAGAATCAAAAGCATATAATAAATTGCACTGCAACTTTTCCACACATTTCCAGCTTTGTAACGCTTTGATTTGTCGCGCTCCCCCAACTCCAAATTTGCCCCAGGAAATGTTAAGGAAAAACTATAGAAAAAAAAGAAGTAACTAGAGGACTTTTGCTGATGCTTCCAAAAAAAAGAAGCATATCAAAAAGTAAAATGCCTTGAGGGGTTGAAAATTTGAGAACATAAATGGGGGGCTGTATTTGTTGTGGGTATGGTGTTTATATTTAGCTTTTGTTGCTGGCGCCATTGTCAACATATTTCAAGACCTCCTCGGTCCGAGACAGAGAGTCAATATAAAGTTGACTTGGACATATTGTAGTTTTCTAGTAGGCGAGTTGCCACCAACATTTTTATGGGATTTTATGGCCACCGAAATTGGTCAGCGAGCGCCCAGAGAAATTTAATGACTGGAAAATGAGGCATTTAAGCCAAGTGCCAACGAAAGTTTTTCTCTTCGAGTTGTTGAACGTGCCAGATATTTATGGGTCTGCATTTGTATCTCCAGCTCCTTCTGTGTGTCTGTGTCTTCCAGCGATGTCTGTTCCTGTATCTGTTTCTGTTTCTGTCCCGGACCGAAGGATGTGTTCGAAGGACAATCGAGGAGGCTGGCGCAGTGGCATACATTAATTGCCGTGATTAACACGTAGGAGCATTAAATTATACTCAACATCTGCAGGTAAGTTATAGTCGTTCCTATTGATACCCTTTTAATATTTAACCTTTAAAAGTTAGATTACATAGTATTTGTATTCCTTCTTAACTAAATCAAGTCATTAAGTTACTATAGAGTTACTATAATTGTTGAGGATATTTTTAAGTTTATATCCTTCTATGTTATTAAAGTAAATTTTTTTTTGAATGCTAACTAAAGGCAGATTAATAAATATTTTGCAGAAAATTGCAAGTCAAGGAACTCTAAATTAATTTAAAATAGCCAAAAATAATCCATTGATGTTTAATTTATACATAATTTTTCCATGAATAATATTATTTTTAATAATTTTACGCGTACAAAATTCAAAACATTTCCTATTAATGATTTAATCTCTGCCAAATGGTCAAATTATATATAAACAAATTTTTGCAAAAATGTTGGATGATTGCAACATGATATTATGACTAAATTTTATGGCATTAATTATTCTTCTATCAATATAAAGGAAAAGTAGCAAATTAAATAAGCACTGTAAACAAAATATAGCAATTTGCTGTTAAAAGTAAAACCTAATGATCAACGGAGACATTTAAAAAAAAAGTTAAATAAAGTATGAACGTAAAAGCTTGACTTGCTGGGTATAAAAATCAAAGGACTTCCAGCAAGGACATCAAAAGAAGGCCTAGACATAGCAACATCAATTATCGCAGTGCATGTGTATGCAGCCCCATCCAAATTGTGTCTGGGTAAGTGCATAAATCATTTGGCTACATTAGCTCTTTGTAAACCCAAAGCAGGCATCGCTAAATAAACTTTTTCGGCGGACTGGGAAACAAAAATAAAAACTCGTTAGGCAGGAGTCAAGACGAAGGAGCAGAGAATACGTGCCTGGACTTTGACTTCGAGGAGGACATGGACGAGAAGGACTACCAGAAGGACAACAGAGCACAGTGTCAAGTGTAAAGAAGAACTACTAATCAGCAGTTAATTCTTATCTTTAATTAAGTGCACGTTCCACCCCCTTCGGCAAAAGTCCTTGGCGTTTATGGCAGGAGTCCTGGGAGTCTGGCCGAACTTTTTGCTTTCCGCCAACACTTTTGTTTGTCCGCGCTGTCGGCATTGTCTTGGACAAAGGCCAGCCAGCCAAAGCCATCCAGCTGGCCAGCCATCTTTGTCCTTTGCCCGTCGTCTCTGGTCAATTTAATGAAATAATCTAAGCAAACACTCCTGAAAATTAAGCAGTTTTTTTCGGGCGGCCGCTTCCGCTCTCAAATTAAAAATGTAATGCGTTCGCCTTTGTTTTGTTGCCGGCGAATAATTAAATGTGCGAAAGAAGTTGCAGCAACATTAACCATCCGGCTGGCCAATTAAAAAGGCCACGCAACAATGGCCCCGGCGCTCATGCATGGCTTATCCATGCTTAACCCCTTATTGCCGGCACCGCACTCCTAAGACGCTGAAACTTCGGCTGGAGTCAGATAGATCTGGGGTAGTCCATAAGTCATTACCCCCATTGAGGAACACACCCACAGGTAAGAGAATACGCCGCTTTCGGCCCTCAAGTTGTTTGTCAAACAATACACAACATGGCCAGGGGTTTTTGGGCCCAAAAAGAAGAAGGTTTAAGGGCTAAAAACAAGGGGGAATGAGGGCCGCACTCAAGCGTGCTCGTCACATTTTTGCGCTTTTACATCCCCATGCACACCACACCACCCCACCGAAAAAAGGGGGCATCATCAGATACATGAAAAACATTTTTTCAGCAGTGAAAAGCTGCACTAAAAATAAAATAAAAGATATTTTATTGAAGTGGCGCAGGGGAATGATAGAGTGAAAGGGAAGCCCAGGACACCGCCTCATACCTTTTCGCTCGCAGATTAATTATGCATCGCTAAAATGCTAAGCCAGGTAGCACCAAAGCACCGTAGCATCGCAGTGGCAGTGGCCCAAAGGCAAATGGCAAGTGGGAGTGGCAGTTCGGGGGGCAGGGAGGGGAGTATGTAAAAGCCAAGTACAAGCCACAACAAAATTAAAATCCAAATAAAATCACAAAAACTGGTTTTGGGCAAATACGGCAGTGACACGGAAAGACTTGCACATTACACACTGTCATTCATACACTTTCTACCCTTTTTTCGATTATTACAATTACTAAAGGAATAAAGGCCGATTTCGCAATATCATGGTAAGTTTTCAACAACGGGCTAAATTATTGGTTCAAAAAAATGTACATTTATTTTTCAGAAACTCTTAACTAAAAATAGGTAGTGTAGCCAGTCCTAGTTTTTTTTTATTAATGAACAGTTTGACCCTAGTTAAAATTTTTTGACAGATTACAGACCAGAACTATGAGATTATATTTAATTGCACAATACTAAGCGGTTATATTTTTATGAACTTTCTCAGAATGTTGTG